CTGGGCAAGTCTATTTTGAAGAAGTGGTTCTAACGCCCCGCCACATTCAAGGGGCAAAGAGCCGCTGCAGTTTGCTGACCACTGTTCTGTGGTCACTGATCTCAGCACAACTCTTTCTGGCCCAGTTTTCTTTCTCATCTTCACCCACATTAGGCTAGCTTCCTCCCTGCCTTAGCCATCTCAGCTGACCTCAGGAATTCCCATATTCCTGTCAAAAACTCTGCTGCTATTGTCTGATTTTCCTTTGAACACTTTCTACCTTGCTAAATCCAGAGGAATCCGCTTCTCTGATGACCTTTTTTGGCTAGGAGACAAGTTAACATTCTTCTAGCTGTCACACTAATGTTTAATTACTATCAATTAGCTATCTCTGCTCCTTTGAACACTTCCATCTGGCAGTCTGTTTTTTCCTAAGCCAGCTAGGTCTAATAACTACAGATCAAAGAAGTCATGTTTCTCCTCATGCAAATACAAGACTCAGACCTTACCATTACTACCCTGTTTCCCCAAAAATAAGACAGTGTCTTATATTAATTTTTTCTCCCAAAGTTGCACTAGGTCTTATTTTCAGGGGACGTCTTATCTTTCGATGCGCTAGGTCTTATTTTCGGAGGATGTCTTATTTTCGGGGAAACACGGTATGTGTAATGTAAAGAAAGATCAATGCCATGAGTACTAACAGGGCCAGAGGAAATGAAGTGAGAAAGCTCAAGAACTCAGAGAGTACATACTTGCTCCAATCCTGGGGGCTATCCACCAGTTCCCAGATGGATGGGTCAATGGGAAATGACCACTACCACAAGAGCGCAAAACCTAGGTCAGTTTCTCCCTCTGCTACATGGAAAACAAAGGCTAGAAGCAGTCAATCCATACTTATATTTCCAAGATTATCTAAAGATCATCTTTTTATAGGTAATTTGTACTAATTTGATTTGAATTAGGATCCAAACAAGATCCTCTCATTGCATTTGTCATATTTCAAGTCTTTTATTTCAGAGCAGTACTCTTCTCCCCCTTTTTTCATGCTATTAACTTGTAGAAATTTGGGCACGTTAGAGTTCAACCAGACAAACAGATAAATAGCAAACATATACTAAGACATTTATTGCAAGGAATTGGTTTACTCAGTGTAGGGGCTGCAAGGCAAATTGGGAATCTGTAGGGCAAGCCATCAGGAAGGGCAGGCCGGAAATCTTGGGCCTGCTATGGAAACTGCTATGCACAGGTAAAATTTCTTCTGGGAAGCTTCAATTGTACTCTTCAATTCTTTCAGCTGAATGAATCAGACCCATCTGGATTATCTAGGATAATCTCCCTTACTTGAAGTCAATTGTTTACGGACTTTAATTACATTTACAAAATACCTTCACCAGCGACACTTAGTCTTTGATTAAATAACTAGAGGCTAAAATCTAGTGACACATAAAGACTATCATACTGTGTCAGTTGCTATATAGACAGTCTACTATTAGGTAAATCCCACATTCTTTATCTGTTTTCTTCCATGTGGTATCATTCCTTTCCATAGTTCCTATAAATTCAGTTTGGCTTTGGAGGCTTGATTATATTCTGAGTGCCACGAATGGGTACCGAGTTTTAAGATAGAAAAACTTCACCCACCAGTAATATGTAGTCAAGTAGAGGTCTTGGCCTTTGTCAGTGAAGTTAGCAATCCCTCTTCTAAGGGGATGTAATGAAGGGGTTATTAGTAAGAGGACATGTAGAGCTGGGAGAAAGGGTAGGAATATTCTCTTACATTAAAGTTTGAAGTGTTCCTCTGCTCTGGTTGCCACCTCATGACTGTTTCCCTCCATGCAGATGCAGGCTTCCCAGCTTACTTACTGAAGTGGTATTGTGAGTAAGATGGGTAGCCTGCATTTTGACTGACATCGTATACTCTAATAAATGTTGGCAAAAATTTTAGTTCCTTAGTCTTTGAATTTTTATTTTAGTCTTCAAAATCTATGGTGGTTTCTTGGCAATGTGGACTTCTGCATACCAAATAATATAATTATCTAGAAATCAGAACCCTTTGGGGACATTTCTAAGACTTTTATTTATTACTATTCAAATTGTTATTTTATTTGGGGTTTCAGACACAAGGCAAGATCCCCCGTAGACAAAGCCATATTTTAGTTTAAATTAGGATCATGTTTGCCTCTGCCCAGACGCTAGTCAATACCAGTGATGAGTTTACATCATTTCTGATGTCTCCTAGCAGCATATAACTCATCCCACATTCCTTTCCAGATGTACTACCCAGACATATTTTTCAAGCTGGATCTTCAGATTTAGACATCTCTTCCTTATACTTCTACTATATTGAAGTTTCTGTTGTGTTCTACTTATAGTATATCTTTAACAAGTTCATATATATATATATATATATTAGTATATATACAAGAGAAAACAAAAAGCAACATGATTTTAAAATATTTTGTTATAACACTATATTTTATGAAGTTTCATAACGTGTTTGTTATTACTATTATTTGTGATGTTGACTTTTGCTGAAAACTATAATCTTCATAGGTAAAGTAATATACACAAAGGAGTATTCTATTTGGTCTTTTGATATTCATAGCGATTTTACTTTTAATTTTGTCTTATTTTGATCACAGAAAAATGTCTTCAACTTAGATAAAGACTAAACCCAAATAAAATAACAATTTGAATAGTAATAAATAAAAGTCTTAGAAATGTCCCCAAAGGGTTCTGATTTCTAGATAATTAAATTACTTGGTATGCAGAAGTCCACATTGCCAAGAAACCACCATAGATTTTGAAGACTAAAATAAAAATTCAAAGACTAAGGAACTAAAATTTTTGCCAACATTTATTGACTTTGTGGTTGCTGAGTGACTCAACTTTCTTTGACTTAACCACAATCCAAAACACATTGAAGTTTTAGTGTTAAAACAAATACTAATATGAGATTGCTCACAAAGGAGAGTCGATGGCCACCTCAGAGACTAAAGTTCAAGTACAATAGCCTTTGCACATTCTTCTGGCTTGTTCACTGCTACAGTCTATACCCAAAGAAAGACATCAAGAAAAAACAGTGTTTAAAATTTTTAAATTCTTGATTTTTAATTCTTGGCAATTAAACCAAAAACTAAAATACTACTCTGTGGGCCAACCAAAAAAGATTGTGCCAACCAGTTATGGCATCGAGATAAAAGGATCATGACGCTATGGGGTCACTTGTGAGGGGAAGAAATTAATAGCAGTCTCAAAAGGGAAAACTAGAGAGGGGAAGACATAAAACTAGAGAAAAAAAGACAAATGGGCTATCTTGAATCTCCCACTTCCCATGAACTCTGAGATGGATTGAAATGTAGAATCTGAATCACAATAAAAGGACGTGTGTGTGTGTGTGTGTGTGTGTGTGTGTGTGTGTGTGTGTGTACTTGATCAACTTAAAATTAAGCTGATATCACCCTGTCTAGGTAGCTCAATTGGTTAGAGCATTGTCATGATATGCCAAGGTTGCAGGTTCAAGCCCTGGTCAGGACATATACAAGAAGCAACAAATGAATGCATAAATGAGTGGAACAACAAATCCATGTCTTTCTCTCTCTCCCTTCCTCTTTCTCAAATCAATCAATAAAAACTTTAAAAATTAAGATCATATGAAGCAAGAATAGTCCCTCATGATGATATATATACTATTGGGGTTTATAATTGTTTATAATTCAACAACCTTAGTTGTCTCTTACTTTTGCAAACAACAGACAGCTTTTACTTTGCATGAAAGTTAAAATACATCTATGTAAATAAGAGAGCAAAGAAGTTTTCTAAATACTTTTATTTTGGGCACAAATATTTATAAATTTTTGTTCTTCTTGCTGGAAAATGGAGAGCTAGTGATACATTTGTTAATGACATTAAAATGTGTATTGTTGTATAAAGGTAATATACATTTTAGGTATGTTAATAAATTAAGGTCCTAATTATTAAAGAAAATAATTAATAGATTAGTCTCAGCAGAAAAATTAGTTTTAAAAGAGGATAAGCTAGGGATATCAAAACAAAACAACTACCTCCAGACATTTTTATATTGTGCAATCTTTTGATAAATAATGTTCAATTACAGAATGTAATATCTTGCACATCTGATATATAGTAGATATTCAGCAAATGTTTGTTAAACTTCATTGCTTTTTAACACAGTAATTTTCCTCAGTAATAATATCTATAACTCAGATAAAAATAGAAATTTCTAAGAGATTTTTTTTTGTTTCTGGCAAAAGTATATTTTTCTACAGAAAATAGCATCAGAAGAGAAAGAAAAGAAAATGTGTGTATGTTCTAAAAGGCAATTCCAACTCCAGTTATTCAGAGATGAATACTTTGGCCCTCTCTGAACTTGTAGTATCTGTTGATGATATGCTGTCAATATCCTCAGCCTCATTATTTTTCTCTGTTTATTTTGGCTTTACAGAGATCAGGTCTCAAGTCACGGGAATCTCTATGGCCTTTAGTTACTAAACGTTTCCTTCCCTCTTTTGCTCTTGCTTGGATCAGAAGAATATGCCAGGTGATATAAATATTTCCTTTTCAGAGCTGAGAAAGAGATCTGGGCTGTGGAGTCAATAGAGAAAGCCTTGGTTTTGATGGTTTCTTGGCTCTCAACTCACCTGTTCTCAGCCAGCCTCGAGATCTCTTTACAAACGTTTGGATTAGATGTTTTAGATCCTTGTGCTTTGTTTGCTCCTTTCTCCCACTGGGATATTATTAGGACATAACAAAGCTAGAAAAGCTGTGGGAAGCTTTGGAGGCAGGAGGATAGGGTCCAGCGAGGCTTACAGTAAAACAGGCATTCACTTTGGTTTCATTACCTACATAGTCCAAAGATAGCCCTGAGTTGATTCTAGTTAGGAAGCAGGCTGGACTTTCTTGATTGTTCCTTTGGCCCTTTTAGTTTTCCCATTTGGGGCCAGAATATGTGTCAGGAAAGAAATCAGCCTCAGGTGTGTGCTCTCATTTTTTTTTTTCTTCTAAACTTCAGCTTCCATGCACCGAACTGAAGTTTTGGGTGGACCGTTGGGCTCTTCTGGCTTTTTATCTGTTTTCTTTGAGTCCTCACCAGAATTGCCATCGTCAGCCTTTTCCTCCTTCACTAATTTGGTTTCAATAATTTCCTTCTGCTCATTCTTGTTTGTAAAAGGGAAGGCCTTTACATACCTGTAGGCATAAGCATGAAAATAAAGTGAGAGGCTTCTCTGAAACACCTATAACGATATATAACACTTTACCTGTGATGGCCATATTGGCACAGCACCTGGGTACTTTATTTCTGAGAGATGCTAACACATGCACGCTCAATACATGAACATATCCCCCCATTCTAATGGATTCACTTAGATTGGATAGAAAGCGGACAGGCCAAATTTTGGGCTGACCTCACCACTCTCCCACCATAAGCAAATAATTGAAAATAAAATAAAGCATATACATTTTCTCCTAGATGTCAATCTTTTATTTATTTCTTTTCAAAGGGACAGCCAATAACCTATATTTAAAGGCTGGCTGATATGCATGTGCTGATATAGTAGGAAAGACGGTGTGGTAGCGGGGAGCGGGGAGGTGAAGGAGAAAATATGCAGTATAAGAGAACTGCCATCTCCATAAGTTTGGAAGAACACAAGATAGGGACACAGCAAAGGTTACAAGGTAAATGATATTCTGACCACTCCACCTTTTGACGTAGCAAATGGCGAGACCAGCTGCAGCAGCAAAGAAGAGGAGTGCAAGCACTAGCAGAGCCGTGGGGACACCTGGAGGAAACAGAAACATGGCTTGTTCGTCCTTCACTTTTACATTGTTGTGCACTGCTCTTCTAACATTCATCTTTACCTGTGACTGAGACACAGATAGTGAAGGAGAAAAGCCTTCTCTGACCACACAGGGGCCACTTAGGATGTTGGGTCCACATCTACTTCTTTGCTTCTCACCTATAGAACGCTTGGCCCTGCCTCTCATACTCTTTCTATTCTATAAGTTGCAATATGACAGAAAGAGTCCATTTTTTTCTGTGGCCTTGAGATGGTAAGTTTGGAGCTAATTAAGTATAAGACCCTTACTTTTAAATAAGAAAACCAAATCTCTGATAATATGCTATTAAGGAATATATTTTAAAAAGAACTTCTACACATTCATAGATAGTAATTTATTTTTTAAAGTTGAGTTTGACAATAAACTATTTCGTACTCATGATTTTTTAGTTTAATCATTATAGTTTTTTAGAGCTCTTAAGTTCTATATATATGAAAGTTGAGTTTGCATTAAGCTTTTATTTGTATTTGGCAGGTCCTGAGTGACTGATCTAGAGACAGCTAGTTTCTATGTATTATCTATTAAAAATACACATACACATACACACACTGCAGACACAGAAGGCTTTACCTCCAAATCCAACATCTTCATTCTTGAATGCTGTTTCAATAGGTGATTCAGTTTCTGTAGATGTGGTAGTTTCTATAAAAACTTCTGTTATGCAAATTAATTTTGTTTTTCGTGGAGAAGCGGGAGCCAGAGCCCGAGTATGTGCAGGAGGAGGAGGAGTTGAAGTAGAGTAAGGTGTATCAGTAGTTAATGCTGAGTGTATTGTGTTACTATCAGTCATTTCTGTTAAGTATGTTTCAGTTTGAGTGTTGAATATGGGATCTTTGGTGGTGGTAATTTTTGGAAAGCATGAGTTAATCCAAGTATCTGTAGGGAAGAAGAAACGAAATAAGAAGTAAATATTGTATTAGCCTCTTATCTGGTCTTCCTGCCTCTTAGTCTTACTCCCCTCCAGACTACTTAGACTATAGCTGGAATGGTTTTCCAAATATGCAAATCTAATTATATCACTTGCTTAGAATCCTTCAGTGACTGCCTATTGCATGACCTATAAGGCCCTCCATGATTTGGTTCTGCTCATCTGATCAGTCATTCCTCCTATCATACTGAAATTCCTTCAATTCTTTGATATGCTTTCTCTTACATTCCATACAAGCCTTAGCCCTTGATGCTTTCTTCAACCATAGGACTCATGGCCCCTCTTTACTTAGCTATGTTTTACTTGTCCATCAGGTCTCAGATTGAACACTTTCTTAGGGAGACTTGATGACTAGATTGAGTCCCTAGGCATATGTTCCTGTGCTTTTGTCATGGTTCTCGTTACACTCCTCCTCACTGGTCTGTCTTGGTCAGACTGTGCCTATCAAAAATACATGGTTAATATTGGATGAATAAAGCAAGGAAGGAAAAGCAAAAGGAAGGAGTAGATAGGGAGACCACTTAAGAACAAAGATCTATTAAAACCAGATTTCTCTGTGCTCATCAAAAAGCGGGAGGGGCCTGGGTGTCATGGCTTAGTGGTTGAGCATCAACCTATGAACCAGGAGGTCATGGTTGGATTCCCAGTCAGGACATATACCTGGATTGTGGACTTAATCGCCACTGTGGGACATAGAGGAGGCAGCTGACCAATGTTTCTTTCTCAACATTGATGTCTCTATCTCTCCCTCTCCTTTCCTCTCTGAAATCAATAAAAAGTATTTTTTATAAAGGGGGGAAGAGAAGAGAAAAGGGAGAGATAGGTTGCTTTTCAATCTGTTGAATGTGGTACATATGAAACTACATTTATTAATCATTTTGCTCTGAGTTCCATAGCACTTCATTTAAAATTTTTATCAAACCCTCATTTATATAGGAGGAAACTGAAGTTCAGAGAAACTGAATGACTTGCCCAGAGTCACAGAGCTAGTAAATGGCAGAGCCATAAACATATATTTAATATGAATTTGCCCCTATTTAAAACCTCTAGTTATTTGTGGTAGGAGGTAGCATTAGCTAGAATGCTAACTATGAAGAAAAGTCATCCCATTCATTTTAAATAATTTATCTGTCAAGGTCATGGATACTATAGTACTGATAAAACATTGGATTACACATGCATTCAGGCAGGATTTTATGCTATTCATTTATTTTCCTTTGAAAAGACCTCTGTTCACATAGACATCATCCTTGACTTTCTCTGCCCTGAACTTTTAGCTATATTTTTCATTTTTGAGCAATGCTGAGTTCTTCCCTCAGAAACTGAATATTTTTGAAAATATCAAGGGTAAAAAACTACTGAGCACAATATACTGTGTTGGGAACTGAAAATATAGACATAAATTAGGCATGGTTTCTGTTTTCGGGAGGACAGAGTATTTTGATAAGGATAGGGGGAGATCACTGGGGATTTACAAAAGGATATGGTATTTGGGCTGTGTTTTGAGGATTAATATGTTCATTCAACAAATATTTATTGAGCTTCAACTTTGTGCAGGCACTATTCCAATTGCTAAGGACATGGTGTAACAAAAAAGACAAAAATCCCTGCTTGTAAGGGGCTTATTTGCTTTTGGAAAGATAGAGATAATAATTTTTAAAGCCAGCAATGTCAAAAGATGGTAAATGTTGAGAAGACAGTTGAACAGGTTGAAGATTAAACTGAAAAGAGTGAGCGATGGGGGACAGATACTCTGGATAGGATGGTAAGAGAAATCCTCTTTGTGGAGGTAGTGCTTAAGCTGAGACCTGAATGATGAAAAGTAACCAGTTCTTAAAGATCTAGGACAAAAGATTTGCAAGTAAAGAGAACAGGAAGTTCAAGAGCCTGAAGTTGAATGGACTCAGCATGTAGGGAGAAAAAAGCCAGAATGGCTGGAACTGAGGAGCAAACATCTAGTATGAAAGGGAGAATAGAATATCCCAGTCAATAGGAATGAGCATGATCTAAGAATCCAGAAATTTGAAAGTGTAGTTGTGTTAGAAAAAGGAGAAAAGGAGCACAGTGTGGCTGGAGCATAGGGTGTGTGTATGATTGGCATCATGGAATACTGCAAGCAAGAGATGAGTGTGGGAAGATAGTTTGGAGCCAGAGTATTGAGATTTATAATCGTCATGTTAAAGAATTGGAATTTATTCTTAGGAGCAGAATTTTTTACTGGGGCCTAAAAACCGATATATAATAGTTCTCAACTGATATATGAGTTCTCATACATGTCCACTTTTATGTGCAAAAGGCTTTATAGTTTACATCGTATTCTCAAATGGGAAGTTATCCAAGGTTGTGGAGCAGAGGAGTAACATAATCATTAGTGGATGCAGTGGAGGATGAAATACAGAGAGCAGAGAGTACAATCTGGTAGCAAAGAAGGAATGCAATTACATGGAAATAGGGAAATCCAAAAGTGTCTGGAATCCTCGAATTTAGATTTTAGAGACCTTCTAGGGAAAAGTGATTCTCACCCTGGTTGTGGGTTAGACTCATCTAGTGAGCTTTAAAAAAATATTGATGCCCAGGACCCATTCCAGGCCTGTGTTATTGATGTACCATTATCACCAGGGAAGGTGCTACAGGGAAGTAACATTTGAGATTTAAATCCTTGCTCTTTCCCTTATTGACTGCCCACAGCATGGTGCACCCTCAGCATCAGTTACCTCCCCTGCAGAGGAGAAATAATACACTTGTCTTTTCACTTTGGATCAATGAGAGAGTAAATATGTAGGAGCTAGCACAGTGAGTGGTCAGAATAGATCAGATCTGTAAGAATTAGTTTCCTTTGCCTCCTTCATTAAGTATAGTCAAGAAGGCCACAGTGTGAGGGAGTAACAGTAGTCTGGTTCTGTGATCCCTAACTGGTCAAGGACACAATATCTCATTTGGAAGTGCTAGGACCTGGCTCTCCTCCCCCTCAAGCCTATAAATATCGATATAATTTCTCTAGGATGTGCCAAGTGCTCTGGTACAGAATGGGGTTGGAGTACAAGAGGAAAGGTAGGAGTAAGGAGTACAGTAGGTCCTCAGATTACATTGGAGATCGTTCCTATGGTGTGACATAATGTGATTTTTGCCCTAAGTCGGAACCCATCTACATAAGCACCTACATCATTCACATGGAGCACATACACAGCAGTAATGAAGTGAAACAGAAAAAAATAAATAAAAGAAAGATAACAATTCCTGACTTTTACTTGTGGTAAATAAATAAAAAAACAACACACATAAAGCATATATGTACATATGTCGAAATGACAGAATTTTTTTTAATATATAAATAAATGAAAAATGGTGATGTTTATCAAGTCTGACGTAAACCAAGGACTGTTGGTATAGGAAGGATTTCTGGAAAAGATGGCACTTGAGATGTGAATAAAGAGAAGGAGTTAGCCAAGTAGAAGAGGACAGACACTGTGGCAGAGGGAACAGTATGAAACACATGGTGCCCACAGAGCTTTCAAAGCACTTTGGTCTGATCTCCAAAGTTCACAAAGAGCAATAAGAAAGACAAATTAGGATAAGGTGGAGAATCAGGGTTAAAGTTTTTGTGATCCCCAGACCTCACAAGGTAAAAATAAAAAAGTTAGAAAAATAAAGAAACATAGGGTAAGTTTGAGATTAACATTTGGATGAGGGTTTAGATAATTTTGATCCTCACAAAAAGAAGCAGGTAAACCTGACTGTTAAAAATGATAATATGATCACACAGAGCAGTGAATTTTTTCAAGTTGCTTTTGTACACAATTCTTTGGCAGTATATCTTTAGAGGGATGTCTTCTAAGGACTAAAAGAAATGCAAAGAACCTTAAATTGCACTCACTCGGTTTATTCCTAATGTTGATTTTGTAATTTTGAAACTATTATAGAATAAGAAAGCATATTAATATTATTTATTGGGGACTAAGATGTTCCATATAAGAAAAAATAAATACAAGTCATGTATCAAAAATGTATACTGGAAACCTATATAATTTTATTAACCGATGTCATCCCAATATATTTAATTTAAAAATGAAAACAAAAACACATAAGAAAATAAATATTTTGCCCTCCTCTCCCATATAATAACCCATTCCAGCAAGGATCATCAATGGCTGTTTAAACTATTAGGTAAAAGATAGTTGGGGGAGGAGGGGTCAGAATAGTTGTATGATTCCAAAATATCACACTGTAGATTACCTACTCATTCCAAAGGGGAAAGTGTATTTTGGAGTTCATCAGAGAGGTCTGTCAGTCACCATCTTAGTAAAATGATAAAAAATTAGCATATTGAGCCCTAACCAGTTTCACTCAGTGGATAGAGCGAACTCAAGGGTCCCAAGTTTGATTCCAGTCAAGAGCATGTACCTTGGTTGCAGATACATCCCCAGTAGGGGGTATGCAGGAGGCAGCTGATTGATGTTTCTCTTTCATCTATGTTTCTAACTCTCTTTCCCTCTCTCTTTCCTCTCTGTAAAAAAAATCAGTAAATATATTTTAAAAATTATCATTAAGTGCCTTTTTGACATTAAGTGCCTTTTGTTGGAATGTTATCCAAAGTACACAATATCATCTATGAAAGATTTTTGCCAAAAATATCAATAAGCATCTAATTAAGCCTCTACACCTAACTTTAAGTTTACAGGAAATACAGGGAATAGAATTACAAGTTAAATAAAGCTGTGGGGAAACACAAATCCCTTTTCCCCTGCCTCCTTTTTGTTGAGTCTCGAGCAAGCATGTCAAACTCAAAGGCTAACATGGCCAAATAAACAAGGTTTAAGTTTATGTGGGCCGCAAAAAAGCAAAAGCTTCAATTTTCTTAGAAACGTAGGTTTATTTTGATAGAGACATGCTGAATACAAAGAGCTTAAATAAATGAGTAATCTTTAACATAAAACAATAGAACATTTACTAAATTAATATTTTTTTCTTGAACATTAATTTCCCAGACGCTGGATAACAAATTAATAAACGTAATGCAAATAAACCTCATTTTCTTGTTCTCTGAAAGTGAATTATTTCCTGTTGCGCACACTAAACAAGTCAGTCCAAGACCAATAATGTGGTAAACATCCGTGATGAGAGAATCATGGTTCGACTGTCTCCTGCGTGCTCCTCACTGGGGATCGAGCCCGCAAGCCAGGCATGTGTCCTGACTGGAATAGAACCTGAGACCCTTCTATCTGCAAGCCGACACTCTATCCAGTGAGCCAAACCAGCCAGGGCAAGTTACAAAATTTTTATTAAAACATTTTTTACATACTGTTATATTGTGCTGGGCTGGAAAAATATTGTTGTGAGCCACATGTGGTGTTTGACATGCTTGGTCTAGATGGCTGGTTATCATATTATCACATTGACATCTGGCAGGAAGGCCAGGCAGTTAAAAGTCTAGGTCATTTGACAGGCATGGGCTGGCTATGAGATAAATAGGCATGTGAATCACCAATTCCCCAGCAAAAAGTGATAGGTTGAAGAGGCAGAGGACAGAAGGGTGGCAAAAAAAAAATGTTGGAAGAAGCTTTATGTTCTAGTCATGACTGCAAATGACTGTAGGACTTTAAACAAACTGAATCTTCATTCTGAACTATAATAGTGTCATCTCTGGAGTGAGGGAAGTAGACAAATCATTTCCCAGGATCCTTCCTATGCCAAAGCAGTTCAGAGAACTGCTTGGACCCTCTGATGCCTTTGGGAAACAATATTGTTGATGCACGTTTATCTCTTGGATGTTGGAGAATGATTTTGGAATCGATCCTTGTGTATGACACTCAGTTGTATGACCTTTAGAAGGTCAGGTTTTTTTAGTATGTGTTAAGAGTAATAAATCAGGAAGAGTTTCTTAGGACAAACTGAAAACTAGCATTTAGTAAAAGCAAAACCTTTCTGGGAAGGTAGTTAAACCTGGGAAGATAAAGCACTAAGGCTAAGGTGACCAAGGTCTCCAAGGAGGTTAAAGGATGACTGTGTGTCCATCAGAAAATCAGTTCTACTTTCTAGATTCAACCCCTTCCTTCATAAAATGGAGATTGGGTCTTGTTATAAAAAATGTCAAATGTAGCATTTGAATTTCCTTTCCTGTGAAAGAATGTAGGATAACAGAAAGAGCACTATTTTAGAATTAGACTTGTGTTTGAGTCTTTAGAGTAATGAGATCTTAGACAACTGTAGTTACATCCTCTTAAGTTTTTTTCTGCAAAATAAGGATGGCAAAGCACATCTCATAGGGTGATTGTCAAGGTTCAGTGAGATAACTTAATACATTACTGTGTCTATAGTGATATTTCCTTTTTTCCCTGTTAATTTTACAGGCTGGAGTGGAGAAGTGGTAAAGCCTCCTGAGATGCCCTTTCCCAGTCAATCATATTTTTCCTAACTTTTTTCCTCCTTGGGGCACTCTAGCACTTCTAGTCTTGTCACAGAGTGAGTCTTTGGAGGATTAAACAACCATTACAATGATTGCTGCTGCTCAAGGTCACTCTTCTCTGACACATCATAGAGCTAGCAAAACCCAGAGAAGATAGCACATGGAGAGACTGCAGATCTGACTTACCAGATGAGTTGTGACAATAGATCTTGAACCTTTGTTGTGGTGAATTTCTCCAAACCAGGACACCCACCCCGTTCTTTCCACACCTTGGGTTTGGATGAATCCGAGGGATGACCAAGACCTGATCTGCAACCCATCCATAGCTGTAACAGAATACATATTAGTTGAATGGATACGTTTGTCTCTATGGCTGAACAAGAACACAGAGCCAAAAGAGCTCCGATCATGTTTGTGAATCCAGCTGTTTCTTACCTGCAAGTCTCAAAGCCAGAATTCCATGCTGCTTCGACCTGACTTTTGCTGGCCAAAGTTAGTCCCATCAGCCCACAAGCCTCCTTGGCTTCTGTGAAATTCAGCTCATTTGTCTTTCTGGTCAAAAGGGTGACTCCCATAATTCTGCAGTGCACTAAGAAGGAAAGCTCTGCAAAGGAATCACATACATCCTCAGTTTTCTGCTCTCCCTGTTCATAGCCCTTAGGCTCCTCGTCCCAGCACAGCATTATAGGCTTGATGCAGCAGTGAGGTCATTGTGGTTGGGACTGAAGTTTAGGTATAACAGGACACAGGCCAGACATTTCCCACAAGGACATCCTGCTGGGTTAGGTGGGTGCTTGGTTGGATCCAAGCTGTACCTCTCATTAGACCCGAGTCCACTCTATCATACTACATTAAGGTGCCTTGTCCATTACATGGAGGAGGCCTCAGCTACTAGTTCCTGGGCTGGGGTCTAGATGATGCTATTGCTACAGACCCTTTGGGAGTCTATTAAATGAAGAGTCTGAGAATTTGAGAAAGATAGAATTCAGGGCTAATAGAATAGTGACACTCCAAATTAATGTGCTTTGGAGATACCACTATTTCTAAGATGGGCTGAAAAATGGTGCATTTGTTATATGAGCTTCCTCAGTCTCAAGTCTTCTCTGACCATTGGGGGGCAGACTTACTCAGAAGTTTCTGGAGGAGCTGGGCAGTAAACCTGGCATGGCAGAGAAACTAAATGATTGAGTTTTAGAATCAGACCTGGATTTGAATCTACCTATGTCACTAGTTAGTTCTGTGACCTTAGGCTAGTTATTTCATCTCAGCCTCAGTTCCCTTACTTATAAAACTGAGAGGGTAATAATATGAATTTTATAGGGCAGTGAGAGTTAAATGATTTACTTCCAATAAAAAAAAATTAGCATAGTGCCTGTTACACAATAGTTACTCATTAAATCATAACATTATCGTGTTATTTTCAAAGCAGTTGAATAGTTAACATGTGAATATTTTACTCAAAATTTAATGAATCTGAGAGTTGTTTTGATCCCTTCCCTCAGAGTTCTAAGATTTATAGACTTGTACGAAATTGTGAGTTGCATTGCATTCAGGTATATTATTTCTATTGGGCTTAATCCACAAACGTTCATAAAAGAGCATTTCAATCTCCCAAGTAACTGCCTGTACACAAATCTGTGCATTGGATGCCCAGTCAAATGCTTTGAACACTTTCTAGGTTAGCATTTAAAGGAAGTTTCTTCTTGAAAACATGGAGGGAGCATTTCTAAGTCCTCCATGTGACCTTGCTCTGCTCTGGATCAGAGGACTGCAGGAAGGAAAACATATATTATGTACAATATTTGTGATGACCTTGTTTGCTGTCAGACCCTGCTCTCACCAAAAGAGAGACCTGAGAACCAACACTCCAATGTGAGGGTTGTGACAAAATAGCCTCTAATATTAATACCAATAAAATTCCAACTTCTATAATCTGTTGATGCTATTTGTGTCAAACCCTATCTTTTAAAAAAAATTATTACTTATTTTAATTAAATTTATTTGTTTATTTACTTACCCAGTCTCTTTTTAACTAAAAATTGAGGCTCAGGGAGATTAAATAACTTTCCCAAGCCCAAGGATATAGAACAACTAGGTGGCAAATTGAGGGCACAAACCCAATTATTAATATAATTGACTCTAAAATCTAAAACCCCAGTTCTTAACTCAGACACTGTTCTGCTTCCCACTGTGCTACAGGGAAAAGATGAACACACACACACACACACACACACACACACACACACACACACAACTAGAACACAGCATTTGTCCTAGAATTTGGCTCATTTAGCCCATGAGTGTGCTATTGCTCAAACTTCTTAGGGCTGTTTTCTTTGGTGGGGGATACTTGTAGGCTTATTAATTACACTATAAAATAGTCTTGATACTCTCTCATCATACCTCATTTTTACTTTAAATATCACTAGTAATAGTAGTAGTAGTAGTAGTAGTAGTAGAAATGATAGGCTATCTTGGCAATGGACCTAGCTTGGATTATTTCTTGTAATGTTAATTAGCTGTGGGACCTTGGACAAGTTAGCGTTCTCATCTATAAAATGGGGATGGTTATTTCTTCTTCATAAAATGTTGTCAGAATTAATTTAGATAACATGTACCTAACAAAGACTGGGTCTATAGTAGGCAGTTAAATATTAGGCAAATTTAAGCTTTTTTATTTTATTAAAGATAAAACTAGGGAGCTGGTATTTAAGGGATATGCCAGTAATCTCTTAAGAGTTTTCAGGAGACAACAGGCATAATAGAAATAGTATATGTTTAGCAGACAGAGCTGAATTCAAACCCAAGCTTGCTTACTTACTACCTGTGTGACATTAGGCAAGTCACTTGGCCTCACTGAACCTGTTTCTTCATCTATAAAATGTCTTCTTGAGATATATTCTCAAGCATAGAACACATAATTTTCCTTTAAAGTGCTCAGATTTTTATTTTCCCAGAGTTGTAATGAGTGATTTGTGTTTACAATTTTTTTTGCCTAAAAGCAGAATGAGGTTACCATTTAGGCATCTCAAAAACCTCAAAACCATTTCTAATCATCCCTTTTTCATATATAATACACACACATACACACACACACACACACACACACACACACACACACGCTTAATTCTGAATCTCTACATAATAGGTCATCAAGGATACTGTCTCCCATCCTCATCCACTCATCTTTATCAGCCACTTTTTCCTTAATCATGGTTCTGAATAACTGTCAGTTGTTTCCAAAAATTTATTTTCCTTAGGAAATCTTTACCATTATTGGCAATGGTCCAAAGAGTGTGATAGAGTCATTGTCAAAGAACAATTTCCAAAATAGCTTGAGTAATGGCAACATTTTGGGGGAAAGTGAATAGTTTTCTCAGGGGGATTTCAAAGAGAACCAACTTATTTGACAGTAACAGTTCTGGTATTTGAAAAAAATAAATTATATAACTCTAGCCTCTTTTGTAATATTAAATACAACAATATGTGAATCAACTCTGGATGTCTGTTCCCGACATATTTTATATCTCAGGGCAGTTTCCAGCATAGGAATACTCAAATTTTATTTTAATGTACTTAGGGTTTCATTTTACCCAGAGCTGAAATGAGTGTTTTGTGGTTGCAGTTTTTGCCTACAATGCAGAATGAGGTTACCATTTAGGCATCTCAAAGCCCAGAAATCATTTCAAATCATTCCTTTTGTAGACAGCTGATGGCTAATTTTCAAACCTATATTTCACAATCTTCCAGTTAATTTGCTATTTACTATATATTAAAAACATATGCATCCCATGATAATATAATAAAATTAAAATAATTATATTTCACTTTAAAATATATAAAACAGGCCAATATTCTGTGAAAGTTAGCTATTTTTCTTGGGCTTAGAGATTGCTTAAAAATGTTTACAATCATGATTTTCTTCTTCAATGAAACATTTTTAAAACAAATGATCTTACCCTAGCTGGTTTGGCTCAATGGATAGAGTCAGCCTGTGGACTGAAGGTTCCCGGATTCAATTTTGGTCAAGGGAAAAATCCTTGGTTGCAGGCGCAATCTCCAGCCCTTGTCAGGGTGCATGCGAGAGGCAATCAATTGATGTGTCTCTCTCACATAGATGCTTCTCTCTCTGTCTCTTCCTCTCCCTTTCACTCTCTTCAAAAAAAAAAAAAAAATTAAAAAAATCTGGAAAAATATCCTCTGGTGAGGATTAAAGAAATAAAATAAAAACAAATTATATATCCTTAATGTTTTGTTTTAAAATATTCTCATTAAAAATAGTCCATAGCCACAAATAAAAGTAAAGATAACATAAAGTTAAAATATAAATAATTTTGGTGAAATTGACAATATGGTGAAGATATTTCCTGTAGACCGATACTACCAATTAGATCTTCTGTTTACATTGAGGGTTCTCCCCACTCCCAGCAATCCGCAGTAATGAATTTGGTAGACTTAGGACAGGTTGTAAGATCTTGCCTTACCTCAGGTTGGCATTCTGCTAAGAAACCTACCTTGTGCCTGGAGAGAGCCTTGACCCAAGAGCCTTGTAGTCCAGATGGAGGCAAGAAGCAACACCAGACTGAAATACTTGATCATTGTGCCAACCCCTTCAGAGCCAGAGAAACACCTCAGACAGCCAGTGGCAATAACTAAGGCATGCAATCACCAGTCTGGATGGAAACTTCTGGAAATATGTTGGGGGCCTCACTGCTCCACTTCATAATCGAGATATCCGGATTTCCCTGTTTTCAAGCTTCTGACTTGTCAAGGTCACTGGGGGAAATGAGAGACGCCCCTTGAATGCTCAGGCTGTACTTTGTGGATAGCTTTCTGGAAAATTTAGCTAATGCTGACTCAGAAAGCACAGAAATGAGGAAGGCAGATAGCACAATGTGAACTGCTGACGGTTTTCCCAATTCCCATATTCCCTGCCACTGCCCACCACCCCCACCAGGTCAGTTCTCACACATCCACTGCTATTGCCTGTGGAGCCCATTCATTTAGTCCTAGGAATGTCTCTGTCTCTAAAGGAGATTGAGCATGTGTTGTGCTTTTCCTTTCATAATCAATCAGTGTGGGTTTTCCCAGTTGCACATTCTTCTGATCTGCAGGGGAATGGTGCTAATAGGCTCATGAAAGCAAATGCCCATTTAAATACCAAAGACAGAGTCTTCATGCCTCCTTTTGGGACTTCTTTTATACATTAAAATTTTCTATACCATTATAGGTGATTCCTTTTTCAAAGAAACCAGGCACACACAAAAATCATATTCTAAAATTCCAAATAGGGGACAGTGGGATCAGGCCTTAATGGGCAATTGGACATACCTTGAAGGTCCCAGATTGGAGAGGGTGCAGGCTGGGCTGAGGAACACCCCCCCCCCACCCGTGCACAAATTTCTTGCACTGGGCCTCTAATCTCTAATTGTTAGTTTAAGTTATAACACCAATTATTTGTGTGATTTTGAGCAAGCCACTTAACTTCCCTAGGTCTCAGTTTTATCATCTACTAAAAAAGGGAGTTGAATTATATGAATTTTAAAGTAACGTAGAAATATAATTATATGATACTGCTATTACAGGGACTAGTTGTTTTCTAACATATATAAATAGGCAAATAAATGTATTAGCCAGTGTAGTATATTATTAACAACCCCAAATATTAATATCTTAGTAAAATAAAAGTTATTTCTCTCATGCTGCAATCCAGTGGCTGACAATAGTGGTAGCAGTGGTGGTGGTAGTGATGGTTATAGAGATGGTAGTGTTGGAGTATATGTGTGGGAGGGATTTGGCCACACAATTATTCAGAGACTGTGTAGCTCTACCATCACTTAATACCTCAGTTCCCTCCTCCTCCTTATTGAACCAGTAACCAAGGAAAGGACATGTGGGGAAGGATGCTGAAGTTTACTATAGGGGTCAGGCCTGGGAAATAGCTATCTCACTTCCAACCATATCCCATTGGACAGAGCTTTGTCACATGTTCCCATCTCACTGTAAAAGGAGTCTGGAATGCAGTTTAGCTATGTGCCCAGGAGCAAAAGGAAAAGTGAATTGGCGAACACAGTTTCTGCCACAGTTTACCCTTTTGATCACCCTGTATAGGTTTCACTATTCTTATCAATACAGTCACTCTGTTCTCACAAGAGACATTTCCAGACCCCTTCCAGCTCAAAGTCCATGATCTCTAAGTTATGTTCAGCCATCCCTGTCAGGTCCAGCTGTGGTGCTTTGTGGTCTGGTAACCTATGAACTAAAAATGTTGTATGCTGCTTCCCAAATGTAATCTGGGGTTAAGCAGGATTTTGATAACCTCAGTAAAAACTTCCATGTACAAAGGAGAGGAATGGGTGACACAGCAGTCACCTGGCCGTAGGAATTCTGGAATACCAATGAAGATACATTATAAAGGCCACTAGATTAGCTTCCTTTTGCTGCATGATAAGAGGAAATGAAGATGAACCAAGAAGAAATGAAAAATGACATTACTACATGAAGAACTCAATAGAAAGCATCAAGAGTAGACTAGAAGAAGCAGAGTACCGCATCAGTGAGCTAGAAGACAAGATGGAAAAAAAAGAGAGTATAAAGTATTGGGTAAGACAGTTGTGTTTCTAGGAAACTAGATCTGAAGGTCTACACTCCCCTGCACTTAGCTGCAAGAAAGACTGAAAGATGTAGTCTACCTATGGAAATTAGATTGGTAAACACTCAGCAGTCTCGATCACAGCAAAATGTATTAATTACAAAAACCATGGGCAAAGAAGGTACTGGAGACTAGGATCAGGCATAGAGAAGAGGAGAAGAATTTATCTAGCTGCTGTGACTGGGGACTTCTGACTTGCTTCTGGGAGACACTGATAGCCAATGGGGCAATATTGTTGGCTCGGCTCCACAAAACAAGGAGGCATTTAGCTATTGTCAAAGGTTTGGAAATGTGCTTTTATTTTCAAACTCAGGCATGTGACATGCTACAGTTCAATTTTAGCACACCTGTGTAAGGGTTAACAACATTTGGAACCAACAGCCAGTGCTACACAAATTCAGCCTCTCCCTCTTCGTTTACTCTGCAGGCTGTACAGCAATATATTGGCTTTGTAGTAGCTAGAAAGTGAAGTTCCTTTTAGGAGGTGACATCATCAACAATAGCACAAAACAACACATCGCTCTGCAACTGAGCCTAGGCACCAGAGTCCTAGGGCTAAGTGGGAATGTCAGACTTCAGAGGCATTTTGAGGGGAATTTTTATTTCAGATCAATATCGCTTTAGGAAATACAGGGCCTGTTTCTCTCCTTTTCACTGCTGCTTTGACAACAGTTCCATCCGCTTCAGGTCAATCTTTGCTTTTCAGAAAAAAAATACTGGTAAGTACTTTTTTCAGGAATACTCATGGAAATGTGGTTACTCCTATGCCCCTTCTTTTTCTCAACCCCCCCTTACTCTGAGTAGTTTGAGTGAGAACCTTGTCTGGGAGGATTCTTGCAGGTCTTCCTATGGAGCAGCTGGAGGTTCAGGAACTCACTGCAACCACCTCTCCTGGCCTTTGTCTCAACTGGAAACAAAGGTTACAACCTTGTGACCAGTGGACAATGGATTCTCTTAGCCTGGTCTTTTAAGAGTGGCTGAGATTGGACATTGCCAGCCAAAAGCTCCATCTCACAGCCACTCTCTCAAGAGCTCTATTTGCATCCTGTCTTTGGGCTCTGAGGACCCAGACCTCCTTTAGTATGTCCAGCCTCCCTGGAAAGGGAAGATAAACCATCCATCCATGCCCCCAAAGTCTGTCTACCTTGATCTGCACCTCTTTACCTAGTGGCACATCCGTGGTCCATTCTGGCTTGGGCGTCTCTCACAGTGATCTGCTAGCCACTGTAAAGGACGTCCCTCTTAAATCAACATGCTGTTCCAAAGTGGGGCCTAATCTAGGTAGGCCTCCTGAAAGGGGTGGTTGCATTAAGCCTGGTTCTTGAGCTTGGGAATGATGTTGCTAGTCGAGCCTCATTTCTGTTCCATCTCAGAGCAGATTGAAAAAATATTAGAATAAGTTGAGGCTAATAAAGATGTTATTGTTCTTATAGAAATAGTGGTGGTGCTGGTATTGGGAAGTATGCAAAATGTCAGCTGTCCTCAAGCTGCTCTCCACTACCTTGAAGGTTCCCTTGTTCTTTTGATCAGCATTTAATGACAACCTCCCCAGTATTAGCCACCATGCTTAGTCCTTACCCAGAAAATGGGTAAGACACGGTTCTTGTCTTTGAGGAAAATTTGCTAGGGGAGGAAGACATAGAAATAAGTTATTGTTATACATGGTCATAATGATCAATAAAGAAGATGTTTAAAAAGTGCCAGAAAGCACAGAGAGAGATGTGCCCTATTGTATGGGGTATAGTGGGGAGTTGGAGGAGGTGTTGAAAGCCTAATATGGAAGGGATGATTTTTGCACTTGGTCCTAAAGAGTGACCAGAAAAAAAATTGCAGGAAGAAAAACTAGTGGGTGGAGGAACAAAGCTGTGAGAGAAAAAAGGTTAGTCTAGGCACCAGAAATAGTTTGGAGGTGCTGAAGGGTCTGGGCTGTAAGGTGTCCAATTAGGAGACCACTGGAAGAGGCCATTTAGTGCAGTGGTTAAGAGCACAGCCTCTGGGCCAGCCTGCTTAGCTTTGACTTCTAGCCCTATGATTTACTAACTAGGTATCCTCCAAGAGCTACTTGTATTTTTTTGTGCTTCAGTTTCCTTAGCTGAAAATGAGAAGACTAGTACCCACCTCATAGTTTTTGTTTGTTTTCCTTGAGGACTAAATGAATTAATACCTATATAGTACCTAGAACGGTGTTTGTATCATAGTAAGTTTTATATTATTAGTATTAGCAACAAAAACAAACAACTTTAACAACAAAACAAAAGCAAAACAACCACAACAAAACCCACACAGAAACCAATACCCCCCAAAACTGATGAGGGATGAATGAAGGCTGTGAAGGTGGAGCGAGAGGTCAAATTGAAGGTGGGATATGCCCTATCAGTGTTCTACTAAACAATTGGGGATGCTCTGAAACACATGTTTGCGTTGAGAATTCCATTTGAACTGAAGCACTAGGTGTAATTGCACACTTATATGTGGGCACATGGATGCTAAAAGCACAAAGGGTCTCCTTATTCACCTGAGAGTCGAATTAACTTCTCCTAATGGGGAGAGAACAAATAGGGAATAGACTATTCTATTCAAATAGGGAATAGACAGTCTATTCTGTGCTGTACAGCAGTTTGGAATTGTACTTGAAATGGAGACCAGCAAGTTCAATATTAAAGCCATGAGTTTGCAGTGTTTTTCAAACATCTTAAATCCACGTGGAGAGCTCTTGAACAGGTACCTGGTGACTGCCCCATACCTAGTGAATATCTGTGGGTTGGCTTTATCCAGAGCACCCATAGCACACGTTTTGGAGGCTTGTTGGCTTCATGCACATGTGTGCTGTGTGTATGTGTGTGTTGTTTGTGTGTACAGATGCATATATATTAATTCACATCTTCCCATTGCATTTCAAGCACAGAGCTAAACTCAGTCTAAATATTTTTCTGAGAAACCTTTTCTATTTCTGTAAAGATAAACTCTGTTCCAAAGGGGCAGAAAGAGAGTCAGTAAGAATGAGATAGGAAATGGGAAGATATTGATGTCGTGACTCCTAATTCCAGGCCTATTCCTTGGAGTTGGAGTTGGCCTTTAGGCACAATTCTTCCTGATTTTCTGTTGCAAAGAGGAAATGGAAGAGTGAGCTTTTCACTGTCCCCTGCAGTGAGCCAAGGCAGGCGACCTTCCCTTCTATTGGAGTTCCTTGGTGAAGGTGACTTCTTCATCTACTGGCTGCTTTCCCAGGAAAGTTTTGTTGATCTTCCGAGAACATCTGTCGCTATGTATGAAGAGCTCCACAGGGGAGCTGATTGTGAAAGAACCCCTGCTCATTCTCTGATGGACTGGTGGCAGCTGCTCACACCTGGGGCTGACAGCACTATAACTTGGGGAAAGGGTGATGGGCTGTGTGCAGGAGCAGGCTCTTGGTTAGATGTCAGGTTTCCTACTGCTCTGTAGGCTGCTCATGCTGGAGTCCTGAGCTCCACCAGGAGTCCCTCTGGGCTGCTGAGCAAGTGGATCTTCCAAGGGGCCCATCGGGCTGCTCCACACAAGAGTTATAGGAATTGTACAGCCCCAAGACCACAGTCAAGACCAGCATTGCTGCGGCCATCATCCAGATGACTTGCCAGTGCTGACACAGTTTGGGATATAGAACTTGTAAGAAATGAACCAATTCTTCAAGTTTGCTGTCAAATGAAAAAATAGATGGAGGGGTTAGTATGTTGAACACAAATATGATGCCCAGACCCATACTTCTCTGTCTGGAACACTTTCCATACTATCTAGAGTACTGGTTCTCAAACTCAACAGTATATAGAGTCTTTTAGCAGCACTTATTCAAAATACCCAGGCCTTCTGAATAAGAAAGAGTTTCCAAAGGTATGGTCTAGGTATCCATAGTTGAAATTTTCCTTCAAATGGTTTTGATGCCACCAATCCATAGCCTTGATGTTGGGAGCTACTGAGATAAAATACTCTATTTGCTTGTTTGATTCTTCACCCATGTACCCATGCTCACATCTGTTCATGAGGTGGTCATAGATATCTGAACTCTCCCAAGCCCCAAGTTGGCTGACCACACTCCCACACATTCAGATAGGACCAGCATCTTTTCTGCATTTAGCGGTATTAGCGACCAGTTCCAAGTTCTAATCTTTGTCTGCCTTCATGTTCAGACACATAGTTTGTTGTCCTTTTTTCCACATTTGACTATATTCAGAGTGGGAGGATTATGCTAAACACATAAAAGACTTGATGTCAGGGATAAATGGCAAAGAACCAGATCAACCTCAAGAGTTCACTTTAAACCATCCCAAGGCAACCAGAAGACTAGTAGCTCCAGCAACCTGTAGATGGCTTATTCAAGATGTTTTCTCAACCCTATTAACTTTTATTCCCCAATCTTTCCCTCCTCTTTCTCTTCATACTCTTCTCTCCCCTTTCCACTCACTCTTTTCTCTCTTCCCTCCTTGCTTTTCATCTCAGTCCTCCACCATTTTTTGCCTGCTTCTCTCCTTTATTTCCAACTGCCTTTCAACTTTTCCACTCTTTATGGCCTAGTGAAAAGACATTCTCTCAGATGGCCCACTTTGAAGAGTCCATTCTTAGATCTCTCTGGAGAAGCCCTGGACACATCTATTTTTGAGTGGAAAAAAAATATATATATATATGTGTGTGTGTGTGTGTGTGTGTGTGTGTGTGTGTGTGTGATATATATATTAGACATTAAAAAAAAAACAAGAATATTGAGGACTAACAAATGAAGAAGGTGAGAATAGCTTTACTTCTGAGTTAGTAGAAAAAAAGACACCATAACAATGGATAAAATGACTCAACAAATACTGTCTTTATAAAGGGACTAGATACTCAAGAGTGCCTGCCTCAGATGCTACACTAAGGCACTGATTATTTTCTTTTCCATGTGGGAACCCTCTGATGATCATTTCAGGGACAATTAAGCAAAGCAAAATAATGGTCACATCAGCTGAGGTGAAAATCATCTACTATTTTTCAGCTGTTGGGAAGGGAGAGCTTAGAAGTGGAAGCTTATTTTCTTTCAGCTCCATTTAAATTATTTCCTTTCTATTTAAATAGAATTGTATGCTAAAATGTAGCCTTTCTTTTTGGCTATATTTCCATGCCCAAAGCAAACTACTACAGTGGGGAAAATGCCACTGTAGCTCCACCCTTATGTGGAACTGCAGAGGAGAAGGTCAAGATCTGGTTTCGTGACCCTCAGCTGGTCAACTGTTTTCAGCCTATAAAAGAGGTTAGAAATAGAATTCCGCCGAAACCGGTTTGGCTCAATGGCTAGAGCATCAGCTTGCAAACTGAAAGGTCCCAGGTTCGATTCCGGTCAAGGGCATGTACCTTAGTTGTGGGCATATCCCCAGTAGGGGGTGTGCAAGAGGCAGCTGATCGATGTTTCTAACTCTCTCCCTTCCTCACTGTACAAAATCAATAAAATATATTAAAAAAAAGAAATAGAATTCCTTTGAAAATCAATTTTTGGTTGTACCGAGTTCTACCCATTCATTCATAGGGAAGGGTAAAGATGCTTCCCCCTCTTCTGGACTTAGAGAGGGGCTTCGGGATGCTGCTTGGAGAGTTCAATATGTTGCAATAAGAGGGAGACAGTGTACTATTGTGTGTGACTTGCATCTGAGAAATCTAAAGAGCAGGGATTTTGCTGAAGTGCTTTGTGGCATCAGAGAAGAGGAAACATGATGGGGGAAACTATCCTCCCCCCAATGGTGGGCCAAAGATAGATGTTTCACCTCACCTGGATGTAATCTGGTAAAGGGAAGCTGGCATTGGATGTCATGGTTTCTGTCTGGAAATGCTACCTAGAAGCTGAACAAGGAAGGTAGACTTCTAGATGTTCAAGGACCAAGAGACAGATTTTAAGTAACCAGGTGTTAGAGATGCATTCAACCTCATAAAGGGACCTGCAACTGAGAGAGCCTGGGCAATGGTTTAAATGTGTGTGATGCTGGGATGGGAGGAATGGTTTTCTCCATAAAAGGCCACACTAAACAAAGTAAAAAAGTCAGCTTTAAATGCCTGCCAAAGCCTCAAGCCCAGTCACAATACCAGTCAAGTATTGCCTTTCTTCTTAATCTAGATTCCCCTTCTCAGAGTTCATCCTGGAGAGGTCAGACAATGTAACAGCAAAGTGGGGGTGGAGGGTAGGAGTGTAACTAAGAGACTGAGAGAGAAGCCATGCTCCCCATCCCCACTGCAGACTTCCTTCCTAAAGCAGACCGGCGCTGGAGGAGGGGCGACACTTGAACTTTATAAGTTCAAGCTTTTCACTATTTCAGGGAACTGCCCATTTTAATTGCTGAAAGGAGGTTATCATTGGGATTTAAATTTGACCAGAGGTCTTTAAAGGAATGTACTTAAAGCCATAGAGCAAGTCTGAACAGGCAGTAGGAGAAAAGGTAAAAGTTTTCTGTTGCACCTTGTGAGTCTTACTTGTTCAATGTAAATGTCAGAAGACAGTGTTCTCTGTTTTAGTATGGTTAATATATTGGATTGATTCACTAAAATTTATTTAAGCTGATCTTCCAGATAATAATTTTTATATCAGATTACATTATTATATATTAAACATAGTAGACATTCAGTAAAAAAGACATTGGTGTTTATTGTTGAATCTCTTATGTAAGGGATCAACTACTGGGGTTACTCCAGTATTTTTTGTTTTGGAATTCACTAAGTAGGACATGGACTTTTAATGACTTCATAAATTGCTTGTTGGAGAGATGGCAAAATTTCATGGGGAATCACATTTGAATGCAGGTGCCTGCAGACAACTGTGTGTAAGGAACTCAGAAATGAATGGACTGCTTGGCATTGAAGGCAACAGCTCTCAGGGCTAGTCTGGCTTTGGTCACAGTTGAGGAAGGGAAACTACAACTTTGAGTGTGCAGTTTATACGATAGCAGTGTCTGTCATGGCCCTGAAAAAGTGAAGTTATATCCCTTGTGCTGAAGACAAGGACTCTTCTGAGGGCTGTGCTAATGTCTGGTATCCATCACCTGTGGTATACGCATGTACTCAGGACCAAATGTAAATCTGAAAGGGAGCTGAGGTGGGAGAGAGAACAAGTCCTCAGGATAGGCAGGACCAAGAGAACACTCTCACATGATGGATGTATAGGGTGGCCATTTCTTTAGGCAGCTGACCAGGAGCTGTACAGAGAGGGACCCAGGCTCAGCCTTATTTTCTTCAGGGTTTCATGAAATGGAAGGGAACCACCAATCTTCTGAGATCAAATTAGCTAGATAATTCCTGTGCCTTGTAAACCAGACTTTATATTCCATGCACTCTCTGTTTAGTTCTCTTTTGTTCTTTCTTGGTGTTTGGAAATGTTAGAAGTTCCAGCCTGTGTTAGCTGGATTGAAGGGAGTCAAAGGAGGAACTATTGTCCAGGCCTGTTCCTGACTGCATTAAGGAGAGGAAAGCATTTTAAGAGCAGATTACCCCAAGAGAGAGAAGGGACATAAGAAGATCAGGATCCAACTGCTTGGGGTAGGGACTATACTTTCACTGTTGAAATTTGGGGTTCTTTTAGTAAGAAAGGTGGTACATTCTAATAAAGTTGTTTTCACTGATGAAGCATTTTCTCCAGTTCTCCTAGATAACTCTTCCCTTGAACATTGGGGTGAATTCATATAGGCTGAGACATTTCACTCTGATTGAATCTTCCACTAACTGTACTCTATTGTCCCTCTGTGCTTTGAACCATATGTATTTCATGTCTAATTTTCTTTCTTTTTTTAAAATATGTTTTATTGAGTTTTTACAGAGAGGAAGAGAGAGGGATAAAAAGCTAGAAACATTGATGAGAGAGAAACATCGATCAGCTGCCTCTTGCCCCTACTGGAGATATACCCACAATCAAGGTACATGCCCCTGACCGGAATCGAACCTGGGACCTTTCAGTCCACATGCCGGTGCTCTATCCACTGAGCCAAACCGGTTTCGGCCTCATGTCTAATTTTCATTCTGTTACCTTATTTGTTACATGCATGTGATTTCCAGAGTCTGTCAGCAATGAAGTATAGAAATATATCCTATCCCAAGTTTAGCAGCTAATTAGGTAATTAATCATTTTGGCTGGAGCCATTCTCAAACCTAGAATAGCCTGGGGGTCTAAACACAAAGTTGGCTGTAACTACGTTTTCAAACATCATAATTCAAGACTTCTGGTTTGAATGTACTAATAGAGACAAGAGGGTAGAATATGTAAAGGTGGAGCTATCATTAAAATCCAGGATGTAGACAGGACAAGATGTAGGATCTATACTATCTTTAATCTACATGTTATATATGTTTTCCAGACTTAGAGAAAAATACACTTGAAATATGTATATTAAACAAGTATTTCCAATCTAAAGTGAAACCAATGTCCAGATGACCAAGCTTGTTTGATCAGTATGGAAGGGTCCTATTGGAAACTCACCTCTGTCACAAGTTGAGTTTGTCCCTTGCACCCATCTATTCTCTCTGCCTCTGTTCTTGTGAGAAACCTCCTCTAGGGCTTTAGACCAGCTCCCTAGAGTATGGTCCATTCATGGGGATGCTAGTAGCTGGAAAATGAGCTAACTTTGACTGGGCTAGGGGGGACTCCAGTCAGAGTCCCTCACAACTTAATTCTAGGCTTCTGATGATAGCTCTGCACCACCACTACCACCACCTATGACCTCTCAGCTCTTGCAAATATCCCCTTGTTAACTAATTTGGCTCTTTGGAATTTCCTCTGCCTCCCCTCCCAACATGAGTGTCCTCTTGACTTCTGTTGGTTGCTCATTTGGGCCTTCAACCCACTCATGCCCTGGACTGGCACCTCCAGAGATATTGTGCAGTTAATGAATTATGACCCATTTTGGCAGTGGCAAGGGCTCCAACCTGCTTCTCTGGTCCTTTCCCTCTTCTTCACTTTCTTCTGCCTCTTCAGGTTCCTCAGGATCCTCACTCTTCTGTTCTTCTTCCTCCTCCTTTAGGCATTTAAACTCTTTGATCTTCTTTAGATCTTCCTGGTATCTAGAAAGCAAAAAAGGAACAATAGAGTCTGGGAAAGCCAGGCACAGAGCATCCTTTTCTGAGGTCCGAGAAGAGAGGACTTCAGCATCCCCAATAATTACGCACTTCCTGTGGTTCCACAAACAGGAAAAAGCTGGGGAGCTCCACTGAATCCCATGGCTCATGTCAGTACAATTTCCCCTCAATCTTCAGTCATCCTTCCTGTTTATGAAAGTGTGACAAAACTGACAGGGAAAAATGTGACCGTGTTCTTGCTCTACCAAACATTCAGTGGGGCTAAGATTACAACTGTTTCTATGTAACCTTGGTGAGTCGGCTCCTCACCTGTAAAATGGAGAAGGTGTCATTCATCTCACAGGGTGTGGGAATGTTCTGAGGAAGTACCAGGCATACGACTTGATCTAGTGAGGGTGACACCTGTCACACAGGCTTGCTGGGAAGTTTTACCAAAGTGGCAGGCACACAGCTTGTCTTAGAGAGGTACTCAAAAAATGTTTACAAAACCAACAGAGTCATTTACCCTCACACATTCTGAGTACAGAGAACAGCTGTGGGTTAAAAGACAGGCTTTCTTAGAGAAACCCTTCTGATTTCCTTTTCCTGGGATCAGTATACCCTGAATATACACTTTCTGCCTGTCCTACAGCTGAGTGTTTAAGGCTAGCAAAGCTTGACTGAAGCAATCCCAGGATATCTGTGTGCATGGCTGCCCCACAAAAGCCCACAGATTTCACATCAGTGGGAAGCTGTGTCTCCCTAGGAGCCACAGGAAACGAAGCTCAGGATGTGATGCCTGGTCAGAGGTAATTTTCTGTCAGGCCAAGTCAGTACTCTGTCCCATCTGTGACTGACAAACCAGACTTGCTATTGAAGCTCAATTAGAGAAGAGGACAGTTGGAAGTTGAGGATACTCCAGTTGATGGGAAGAAGGAAAGGCTGAGACAATTGTAGCAAATGCAGTTGCCGCTACTTGTGGGCATTTTTGGCAGCAACAAGACTGTTCTGGGTGCTCAGGAAGCCTCGGGCACCATCAAGAAGAACCCACCCAAAGCCCTTGATTTTCAGATCATTCTGGGCAGTGACGTTCTGGTGGCATTTTGCCTTTTTAAAAAGGGCAGTCTTGTTATTGTCTGACCACACCCTCTCTCCCTGCTTCCTCCTGTCCTTCCTGTGGAACAGGACTGCTATTTTCTCCACTGAGGCAAGGAGGCCCCGGGGCCACTGGTTGCTTCCCTCAGACCTCTAAGAGATGGGAAGGCATGTGGGAAAGTATCTTCTGAGATCTGCCAAGTGACCTAGGAGAGGTTGAAGTCTAACTCACCTCTTATTGTACGCTTCTTCCTCCATCTTGGCCTTGGTCTCCTGGCTAATCTCCAGGCAGCTCGGGGTTGATGTGGGAGCAGAAGCTTCACAATCTGGGTCCCCATTTGTTTTTCCACTAATGAAGGAAGCACAGGGCGTCCTTTCAGGGACAGATTGGGCATCTGAAAACCAAACCACGTCTTTGGCCTGATTGCTTATCAGAATTGAGGAAACTCATTGCATTGAGTTAATTCTAATCCTTCTACCTTGAGACAAGATTTATACAGGCACTAGTTCATGAATCCTCCCTGGACCCCCAAATATCTAATACTGCTTTAGTTCCCTTTTTCCTCATGCTCCAAATCTACCTTTATTCTTTTTTTTCACATTTATTCTTATCCCAGGAGATGCTGTGGGTGGACAGACAGCTATTGGGACAGATAGTACCAAGATGAGAAAGATGAAGGCAGACCAAAATATTCAGTGGCATTTCATTCCTATGTCCATCTTTTGCTTCATTCATGTTAATACCGAGTACTGACTAACAGGCATATTGTAATACTATCCTGAGGATACATCATAAAATAAATTATCTTTGCCAACACAGAGCTTAGAAGGAAAAAAAATCCAAAAACAGGAAAGAAAAATCTATAATTCATTGCAAGTTGTGATAACTTTTATGATAGAAACAAAGTCTGTACAGTGACAGAAAGTAATGAGAGAATCTGCTTAGACAGAGTGGTCAGAAAAGGCCTGAGCTGGTGTAACTGAAGCACAGACTTAAAAGATGAAAAGTCATTAGTTGTATCTATAACAGGGAAGATCAGTCTAGATAGAGGATGCATGATGTATGAAGACCACAAGACACAAAAGGCACAGAGATGCTCCAACTGAAAGGAGGCAGTAAGGCAGGAGTTACTAGTAACTTTTGGACAAGGAGCATCTAAGTGGAGATATCAAGTAGGTAGTTGGATATACCAAAAGCTGAATAAATTCATTTGGTATCATCATCATATAGATGATATTTAAAACCTAGGGAAATTATATGATGAAAGATGAAGACCCAGGACCAAGCCATAGACATCTTTGTCCTTAGCACAGGTGGAAAAGGAGTGACAGAGGAGATTGAAAAGTAGCAGTCAGAGAAATAGGAGGAAAAAGCCAGGAAGCATGGAGTCCTGGGAGCACAGAGAGGTGAGGATGCTGAGGAGGGAGATTTGTGTATCATACACATACTTTGAGAGTTTGAGTCAGATAAGTATAAAGTGATCCTTAGATTTAATAATATGAAGGTTAAGAGGAGTTTTGATGAAATGGCAGAAGCCAAAGGTAGATTAAAATGGGCTTAGTAAAGAATGGGAGGTGAGAAAGGGGAAGATATAGACACAACAATTTGACTAGGGAAAGGAATAGAAGTGTGTCTTGGGGGAATGCATAGATAAAGAAATAGGTTAAAAGATGAAAGCACATTTGAATGTGGATAGAAATGATTCAGTAGAGGGGATGAGAGAAAGAGGATAACCAAAGGGAAGCAGAGACAGATCTTTAAAAAATTGAGAAACTTCTCCTTGGTTATAACAAAGAGAGGATGGTAGGCTGTAGATTGGGGTTTTGGTGAAGGAAGATGAGAGGACTACTATCTAATAGCTTCAATTTTCTCTATAAGGTGAAAGACAAGGTAATTTACTGAGTGAGGTATAGAGGCCTAGGAAGGCTTGAAGAGAGAGGAGAAGGCATAAAAGAGACGTGTGTGTAGGGGGAGTGGGCAGGGGGAGACACAGACATGCTAGAAAATTATAGTAGGATGGCTGGGCAGTGCTGAGAGCCTAATTGAAGTATGGAATCACAAGGTATAAGGAAGTATCCTGATGGCCATGCCTTCACTACAGTGTAGATTTTACAGCCCTTCTAGGTTACCAGAATCCCAACAGGAGTCATGTCAAGGAGGAACCCTCAAATAAGGCAGAAGAGCGAGCAGAGCTTTTCAGCCAGGACTATGAAAGATCTACCCTCTCCAGTCCCTCAGACAGACTCTATGAGTGAGGCTTATAAAGGCTCATCTCTTAGTTTTCCTCAGACCTTGTAAACTTTACATTTCATTAGGTTGGAAACCAAGACTCATTGTGAACAAGAAAAATAAAACTCTAAAAATATCTATTCATAACATTTCTCCTTTTCCAAATTACATTATCCACTCCCTTTCACGTGACCTTTGTCTAATGTGCAGTTTCCTATTTGTCCAAACAATTGGAACAGGAGCAGAAAAAACATAGCTACAGCCAAAGGCCTGGAAAGTAATTATTTTATTAAATAAATTTCTATATTAGAAATAAAGTATTGGTATCAGACTTCTAATTTCTTTTATCTACAGCTGACAACCTTAGAGGTAAATGATAAACGGGTCTGAAGGAGATCATATAGTGTAGGAAGAAGAACTCTCCTGAGGCAAACATGGGTTCAAACATCAGCTCTAACATGTGCAGATTACTTAACTATCCTGACCTTAGATCCCTCAACTGTCAAATGAGGATAATACTCTATACCTGAAGATGGTAGTGTAAGAATTAATGAAAAAATATAAATTTCCTGCAATATGGTACTCAACAAATGATACTATTTATTCTTAGTTATACATTGCATTTATTGGTAGAGTTTGGTAGCAATCTGATGTTCTTTCAAACCTGATGTAAAAAAAATCCAAGCTGATAAATTATCAGGGGATTATTTATATCTTCAAGAGAGAACTTGACATAGATTTCTCTGACACTTTGGAATCAGAGGAATCCTAAATGTGACTTTAAAGTATGGTAAAATTAACATAAAATTGTTTTAATAAATTTATCAAATGTGTGTATATTATGTCATAAAGCACTCAAGCACTTTCAAATTTTGTTGACCAAGTGATGGTAAACAAAACTTTCATTGCCTTCAGGGTAGTGCTCTGTAGAGACTAAAACTTTCCCCTAGTAGAGCTAGGAAGCCCATTTCAACAACTTTTTAACATGTGGATCTTCTGTCCAGGATCCAGATCTCCCAGGTTGAGTTGATCATCCTGTTCAACTCAACTCACCTATGGAGCTTTAGTTCTTAACAAGCTTTCACATATGTTCTCTCACTTGACCCTCCTGATGATAAGAAGAGGTAACATTTATCCTATGTGTCATGCTATGTAATAAGGTCTCACTTAAGACAGTGACTCAATAAGGTAAATGACACTATTATTCTGTTTGACAGGCAAGAAAACCAAGACTCAGCAAAGTTGAATAACCAGCACAAGATCAAACAGTGTTTGATAGAGTTCAGATTTGATCCTATGCAGGCTGACATTTGCCCATTCTCTTGACTGCACTATATGCAACCCATGTGGGGGATTTTCCCATACGCAAGATGAGAAACCAAATTCAAGTTGAGTGACTTGCCTACATTGACATTATTGGTAGTTGTGGGCCTGGCTGGGACTCTCTCCTTAGTCTTCTAACTTCATGCCAAAGTACACTTTCCACAGCTCCATGAGCCCTCTGTTTAAACAGAAGTCTTTTCCTGGGGCTCAGCAGTGTAAAGGGTTCCAGGAAATGGGATGAATGAGGCCAGGCCTGCTCATAGGTTGAGCCATGCCTTATGATGGGGCCCTTCTTTTAAAAGTTGCTTGTTTAGAGTGAGAGATAGGATAGGATAGGAAAACCATGATTTAATACTGGGGAGGATGGAAAGTAGAGGGAACACACAATATGTGAAACGTTTGCAGTTATATTCTGACCTCTGGACTGAGCTTACAGTTTTTGAAATATCTTCTCCAACTACCTGGAAGTTTCTCCTTGTGTATCTTTTTAAAAAATGGGAAGAAAGGTGAGTTGAGGAGATTTTCCTCAGAGATCCCAAAAGTTCAGAGGGGGGAAAAAATCGACACTTACTTTTCCAAAAGTGCAGGCAGTGCTGAGGTGACAACAGGTAGATTGCCTTTCCCACTGGATGATTCTGACTGAACAGAGACAGAGAATTGAGGATTAGAGAGGAAGGAAGAAACTGAGGCTGCTGCTATGTCTGATGATACTGAGGGTAGAGGGGCTGTTGCTCCTCTTCTTTTCCTTTCCTCATTCCTGACACTCTCTAACCTTCACTTGATACTGACTCTTTTTCTCAGCCCTTCTCTGACCTCCTTTCTTAGGTGTTGTTTACCTCTGTGGCACATGCAACTTGCAACTTTTACTTTTCCTCTTTGAGTTTTGTTGAGTAAAGAGAGTTTCCATTTGAGCCTCTGTTCTGGAGGAGAACCATCCATTTTTCTCTGTCCCATTTACTGACTTGGATTACCAGTGGTCCTCCTACTAAACACAGACCCCAAGGTCCCTGGTATAAATTCATGCAAGCCTATCACTGTCCTATAGGTACAATTCTCAAGAGATGCCTGTCCATACCAAAAGCTCAAGCCATCATAAATTTTTATGATAAATATCCAAGGATTATCACATTGTTTTGTTGCAATTGATTTGATTTAAATCTGGCTGCACATCAAATCAACTGGGGGAGATTTTTGAAAGTACTGATTCAGTCCAGAATCTTGGGGTGGGCCCCAGCATGGAATGTTTAGCCTATATTCTTCCTTCTTCCTTGCCTTGAGGTAACTTTAGTTCTTTATTTTTCATTGCTGTTAGAATAGTTTTGCCTGACCGGGTAAAAAATGTTCATGTTGTGCTCCTTTGCAGTACAGACAAGGTCCCAAAATCCTCACTCCCAGACTTAGCAATGTTTTCCTCCCCTCTCAGTACATCAACTACAAAACTATCCCTCCTTGACTCACCCCACATTAGTCTTAAATTTTTCCCAGTATTTCCTCTTTTTGCCACCTAACCTCGCATAAGCTTACAGTTCCTTAATGTTGTATAGGGTATTTTTGTTTGTTTCTCTATTTTCCTGGTCACTAAAGGAAATTATAAAGGGATGACAAAGTAACAACCATGTGGAGGTAACCAAGTTTACAGAATCTTACCAAGTCCCTAGAGTCATAGTGTCTAGCCAATGGTCTCTGTATCTCTCCAGAAATAGTCACTTAAGCCCTGAATGAGAAGCACACTAAAATTCTCCCTTCCAATCCTGCCTTTAGATGCACAAACCCCTTTTCCAGGAAGGTTCCCAACATGGCCCTGTTTCCAACTCTTGGCTGGCAGAGCTAATAAGAGCAGAAGATTTGTCCCCACTCTCCTCAAGGAACTGACAATGATAAGGCAGAGCTTGAACCCTACAGAACTAATATGCAGGCCAGCTAAAAACTAGGAGGTCATAGTTCAATTCCCAGTCAGGGCACATGCCCAGGTTGCAGGCTCAATTCCTAGTGTGGGGCATGCAAGAGGCAGCTGATCAATAATTCTCTCTCATCATTGATGTTTCTCTCTCTCTCTCTCCCTTTCCTTTCCTCTCTGATATCAATAAAAATATATGTTTTAAAAAAGAATGAATTATAGGCATCTTTGTCACAACTGATGCTCATTCATTACCACTTCTAATTTGGGGCTGCTGCCTGTTGTCTCCAATTTTGCACCTCACTTTTTCCTACTAAGTTTACCTCAGGTACTTGATGCTCCTCATTGCCTCAGATGGACATCCTTTTATTCTTGAAATATTAATGTTTATTGCATGTAACATTATTATATGTAAGATCCTTTTTCTTGAATAATTGGTGTTTATTGCATGTAAAATTATATTTAAAATTGTTTTTCTTGAGATATTAATGTTATTTCATGTATCACTATTATATTTAAGATCATTTTTCTTAAAATAAAAAAACCTGACAAAAAGAAGTTAAAAATGACCTCTCATTTTATCATTGCCTATAGATAACCATTAATAATAGTTTCACATATATGCTTTCAGAATTTTCTTTCTACACCTAGAAAACCACTTTTAAAAACTACAAAGCAGAATTATCTATATATACTGTTTTTGTATTTAACTCCTTTTTACTAATTTGAAATTTTTTTCATGTCAATAAATACAGGGTGGGGGAAAAGTAGGTTTATAATTGTTCATATGGAAAATAATACAATAATTAATAACAATAATATAATATTAAACTCTGTTTCATGTACTCACAACTGTAAATCTACTTTTGCCCCCCTCTGTATTTATATTCTAATCATAATTTTCAGCAACTGCATATAGGAACTTCTTATAGGGATGTCTGTAATTTATTTAATCAATCTCTTATTAATGGACATTTGAGTAGTCTCCATCTTTTTGTTGTTATAAACAAAATTGCAAAGAATCAGGACAGAATAACATTTTGTTTAAGAATTCAAGCTTTGGAAAAAGTGAGGCAAAGAGAGATGAAATAACTTGCTTAATGTCACAAGCTAAAAAGGGGAAATCACAGTTGGTACTCAGATCTGGTGTTACTTTCTGTCCAAACTCTAAAACATTGTGACATTCTTAAGCCAGTTCTGGAATAAATTTTGTTCCTACCCCCAATTTTTTATATGCCAAAATTGCAACTTTGTAAAATTTGAATGTGTTTGAAAGTGACTGAAAGTATAAACATTTTTTAAAAAATGAATTGTTGGTTTTTTAAAGAATACACACTTTAGAATCAGAGAGCCTATGGTTCAAAGCTCAGCTCTAACACTACAAAATGTAGCTCAGGTGTTAAAGCCCATTGCAGAATGGGACAAAATCGTACCCACCTTGGATGGTGTAGTTTAAGCATAAAAAGGGATACCACTTACTATCTTCTTCTTCAGTGGAAGACCTGGAGCCTGGTCTAAATTGGGCTTTTTAAGCCTATGACCCAGAATCTGTGCTGGGAATGAACTCATCTTATTGTCTTTGCCCACACCATGGTCACCCACATAGTAGTGAGTTTGAGGGAGAGGTCAAATAGGATCAGCTGGCAAACATGATCATACTCACCAGGGCAGGTAAGGAAGGGATGGGTGATGAGCTTGGAGGCTGACTGGGCAGGTTCAGGGCATTAAACTTGGGGACCACAGCAACGCTGACTCTCCGACGGGGCATGTTCTATAGAAAAAGAAGTAGCCAGGCTCAGTGTCATGAAGGAAGCAGCACCCACCACTCAGAAAGGTTCTGAATATACCTACTCATTCCTACTGCTGTAATAACATTCATTGGATAATTTTGCTTTGGGGTAATGATGGTGGTGGGAGTTGGTATGGAGAGAGTAGCCAAAGTTGACACAACTTTTCTGTTAGTGGCAAGTGATGTCTCAGCATGTTTTTATTTTAGGTTATTAAATCCTGAAGAAATTAAACAGAAATGACCCACAGTCTCTGGGTAACATCCTTGATAGTGTATAAAACTATAGTAATACCAAGGTTTATGCATCGTTTCATGTTCATTTAAGGAATGTTACCGTCAGGAAAACTATGAGCAAGTGAAGGCTGGAGGATGAGCTAGAAGGTGTGGGGAGCCAAATTAGAGACTCTGTCCAGAGGTTCTTTCCCCCACCCCTACTCCCCATGGGTCCAGGAACGAATGATCTCCTGGGTGACTGTGGGAACTTCTGTTGTACTTCCTCCAGGAGCCCTGGTATCCCTTGAACATGCATACCTTTCCCAGAGAGAGGGACATGGACCGCGCTGTGCGAGGGACCCCGTCTTCTGCAATAGGAGGAAACAGAGAGAAGAACTCAGGTAAGTTTTTCAGAGTAGCCTAGAGCAGGGAACAGTTAGTTAGAAACTAAACCATGGCATCCATAGGCCAGAGGCCTCATGCCATGCTCCTCTCAGATTCTCTGCATATTTCATCATCACTTCTGTAATGGCCTGTACTTTTGGAGCAGGCACTTTTCCTATGAGGAAGGAGAAAGTATTTTTTCCTACTAGAGCTCAGGGAAAAACAGAGGAACTTCCTTGATTTCTTTCTCTGCTGTTTGGTGATTTTTTTTTTTTTTTTCTGTCTAAGGATGCAGCCCTTGGAAAGTCTATAGGAGGTTCGGAGTCACCTCTGCTATGGGTGTTGAGGGCCTCATCTCAGATTGTGTGCAAGCGCAAAGCCCTGCGCCCAGATAAACCGAGGCTGACTCTGGTCGCAAGGAGGCTGCAGGGTCAGCTTGGTTTCAGTTCTTCTTTCTTTTCTTGTATCTGAGTACTTTGATTTATGTTCTTGTAGATTCAGCTATTCTTTTAGACTAATGTTTGCTTTATCTTTTTCCAGCAAAAACTATTTGTGGTTAAAGGGTTTGAAGTGTCCTAGTCAGCCAAAATAGCAGAACCAGAAAAATATTCTCTATATATGAAGAGTTCATACAAATGAATAAAATACTAATCGTATAAGTGAGCAAAAATTATAATTAGAGAATTTGTGAAAGTGGAAGTACAAATGTCTAAGGAACATTTGAAAAGGTCAAAAAATACTAATTAATTGTATCTCATATGAGATGAGATACAATTTTGACCCATCAAAGTCAAAGATATTTTTTTAAAGGAAAGGGCAAGTGTCAATAGCACAATGAATTGAGCATTATTGTAACTCATTAAATGAAAGTATTAATGGGTTATTTGAAAATAATTTGCTTTAAGAGCCTTATAAGTATGTTTTTCCCATAACTAATAGTTATACTTCTAAAATCTATTTTAAGGAAAAAATCCAAAATGCAGACAATCTGCATGTTTTATATTTAGAAGAAAAAAAAACAGACGTCATATTTTTCTTTTAAAATAGATTTTAGAAGTAACATTGCTCTTGAAATCAGAGGTATTTTTATTTCACTGTAGTCTTTAGAGTTTCCGGAAAAGACAAAGATTGCCAGAAACCATGTAAAGGCTTACAAACAAACACTGTATATTAGGGAATGGTCATAGAGTATCTGATGGACACACCTGTTGGGTGGGTGCTGGCCCCTCTGTATGAGCCAAGCTGAGGTATAAAACAGTGGAGTGGGAATAAATGTCTGAAACATTATTCACCATTCAAGACTCAGCTATCTGTTCTCTTCTTACTGTAGGCACTTTCTCACCACCCTCCAGACTGAAGCCGGGACTGTTCAGTGTGCTCCCCATGGAAGTCTGCTTGCTTCTGTCACAGCACTGACTATACTGCCCTGCTCTCCCCACAGGTTCGGGAGCTCCTTTGGGTCAGGAATGTGTGCCCTTTACCTCTCTATCATGTGGTGCTAATAGATTTCTATAGAATGAATGGGTACCTTCTCATTTTATAAATCTTGGCTAAGGTGGTCCACAGGGGACACTGCACCTTGTAGGGTGATAATACAAGAGCCAGGTACTAGGGTTTTTTTATGGCAACTTTCCCAACTTCCAACACTGACAGGGAGTGGTTTGTTAGAGGCCCAGGCACATGTGGGTCAGGAACCTCGCTGCCAAGATCCAGAGCAGACATTCTGGAGCTGGGAAGCATCAGTGATATTTCCCAGGAAACTTGTGAAACCTCCTGTTTATAAAGGTTTCTCCATCTGTTAGTTTCTGTACTTTCCCTCCTCCCGCTCTTGGTAACACGGATGTTTGCATTCCACGGGGATTCCTGTCCCTAAAATGTTTGTTTTCTCCCACTGACACCATCGGCATCAGCCAGAGCCTAAACCCTGGCAGCCTAAGGGGACTTTCTGTCCCAAGGCACTGTCCTCTTCCTGCACTGCTCAGGAGCCTCTTAACCCATCTCCATGCCTTAGCATCTGTCCTTCCCTCAAGCATTACCCACCCTAAGTCAGATAGATCTTCTCAAAACACAATCTGACAATGTTGGGTGATGTCAACTCACCAGTGACTCTTTTATTGCCTAAGGGACAAAGGCCTGGCATGTGGCCCTGATGTACCAAGTCTCACCTTCACCCTGTTACTATCATACCTCATCCTGGCAACCACACAGCTCTGTACATGCTGTTAATACCACCAGGATGTGTTTCTTCCTCTTTCCTGAAGACTTCTATTTTTACTTTAAAATACTGCTCAGACACTTTCCTTGACTATCTCAGCCTGCTTCCCTCCTCTGTGCTCTGAGAGCAATTTTATAGAACCTTTTTAAAAGAAGATTTCTTTAAAACATTTGTCTTGCTCATGAGTCTGTTATTCATCTCAGCAGTGTCTCCATTGGCCAGGCTCTCACTCCCTCTTCACTACTCAGACTTCATCTTCCACCTGGGCTGTTGTAATAGCAGCTTCATGGCATTCCCTGGCTCTGGCTTTGCCCAAAAATGTACTGGCCTTACAATAGTCAGAAGGACCCTTCTAAACTCTGCATATGATCATGTCATTTCCCTGACTGAAATCTTTGGTTGGATCCCTAATGCTTTTCAGGATTCAGTCTAAAGTATATGTTGCCTGAAGGAGGCCCCAAAGCACAAAGGATATGGGGTCTCTCATTTCACAAAGTGGAGTGAGCGCTCACAAACTGTGGGCTTCAAGTCATAGTTAGCTGCTCTGGTTCGCTGTGCCACAGTTGCTTTGGGGCCATTCATGTTTGGCCCCTTTGGAGCAGCTGCTGGAAGCCTTTGTGGGCAGCATTTGGCAAGGGCAGTGAACCTTGCTCAATCTGAAATGCGTCCTGGGGCAGCCCTGTTAGGTGCAATTCCAGCCTGGAGACATCAGGGACCCACATTGCAGGCCCAAGATGAGGGCAGGACACTGGTTCCTTACCAGAGGGACCACAGCTGCGGCTAGAATTCTGATTTGCCAGTTTTTTAAATTCCATGAGCTCTGCATGGTCCTTCTCATACGTCCTCTTCAGGTTCTCCACGTACTGCATCATCACCTCTGTTGCCTTTGACATGCGCTTTTCCTGCAGGAAAGGAGATCGGGAAACACAGGCATTTGGGGTAAAAGCTCATCAGCACTTGTTTGCATTGAATGAGGCTCTGGGCTGAGTGAATCAAAAGGATACATGGAGCAATTAGACATGACCCTGCCCTCCAAGAGTTTGCTGCCCACTATGTGAGCTGAGACAGGCTGTAGGCACCTGCACTCAGAGGACAAGAACAAGCACAGACATAAAGCTTCAGGTGATGGCAGGTGGAAGAGAATCAGCTCTGCTCACAGAGAATGGGTCAGGGAGATGGAGTGAAGTGGCTGTAGGGTGTAGGCAGAAGCTGGGCATTTAGACATGGACACAAGGGACAATGAACATTCTGGACAGGGAATTCTAAGAGCAAAGGTACAGAGACAGGAAACCATAAGTTTTGTATCTGGGTAAAGGATATACCTTCCAAAGAGAAGTCCTTTGAAAAGTGAAAGGGAGTGTTATTAAGAATTATGCTGAGATCAAAGACCTAAGTATAAGACCTGAAACAATAAATTACATAGAAGACAACATAGGTACTAAACTTATGGGCATTGGTATTAGAGAGGATATTATGAATTTTATCCCAAAGGCAAGGGAAGCAAAAGCAAAAATAAATGAATGAGACTATATCAAACTAAAAAACTTCTGCAGAGCAAAAGAAACCATCAGCAAAACTAAAAGGCAAGCAGTCGAACGGAAGTGATACCTCCAATAAGTGGCTAATATCCAAAATATATAGAGGACACATACAACTCGACAACAAAACAATCTAATAAAAAAAAATGGGTAGAGGACCTGAACAGATACTTCTCCCAAGAAGGCATACAAATAGCCATCAGATGTATGAAAAGATGTTCAACTTCACTAGCTATTAAGGAAATGCAAATCAAAACCATAATGAAATACCACCTCACCCCTGTTAGAATTGTTATTTTCAACAAGACAAGAAATAACAAGTGTTGGAGAGGTTGTGGAGAAAAAGGAGCCCTCTTTCATTTCTGGTGGGAATGTAAACGGGTACAGATGCTATGGAAAACAATATGGAGGTTCCAAAATAAATTAAGAATAGAGCTACTATATGGTCTGGCAATACCACTTCTGGGCATCTACATGAAAATTTGAAAGCATTTATTTATAAATATTTATATGTACCTCTGTGTTCATTGCAGCATTATTCGTGGTAGCTAAGACATGGAAACAACTTAAGTCTCCCTCAGTAGATGATTGGATAAAGAAGATGTGGTATATACATACAATGGAATACTGCTCAGCCATAAGAAAAGACAAAATACTGTCATTCATTACAAGATGTATGGATCTTGAGAATATCATGCTAAGTGAAACAAGTCAGACAAAAACCAAACAACCAAGAACCATATGATTTCATTCATATGTGGGATATAAAACAGAAAGCAATAAATGAACAAAAACAAACAAACACTCATAAATACAGATAATAATATGGTGGTTACCAGAGGGAATGGGGTAGAGGGAGGTAGAAGAGGGCAAATGGGGTCAAATATATGGTGACAGAAGATTTGACTTTGGGTGTTGAGCACACAGTGCAACATTCAGATGTTGTGATATAGAATTGTATTCTTGAAACATATAATCTCATTAACTAATGTGTCGTCCCAATAAATTTAATAAAACATTTTAAAAAGAATTATGCTAGGACAATAGGCAAATACTAAGACTGTCTGGAAAACTAGGGATGTACAGGCCATCCCACTTATGTAGGAATCAGCAAGCAGTTGGGTTTGTTCACAGTAAAGGCAGTTAGAGCTGGGTTATGAAGGGCCTTGTCTTAATGTAAGGGAGTGACATAATCAGGCCACCCGTGGAAATTAGACTGATGGAGTGGGACTGGTGGCAGTCTACAGTCTGGTAGAACTAGAGAGAGAGAGGTGAGGACTTAGACTCAGAAGCTACGGGTAGAAAGCCATTTGAAGATGGGTAAAGACTGAAGTGAGCAACACACGTGAGCCTAGAAACATGTGTGGGATAGCTGAATAGATCAGAAAGATTTTTCTCTGCTTATATCCCTTGAATCCTCCAGGGTGCCTAGCCCAGGGTGTCTGCCTAATCATAGAAGGTCATGCTCAGTGATTATGCCCTAGAAAAGTTCCCTGTATCTGTGAGCTGAGACCAGCCACTTCCTTTGAGCTCTTCCTTTTTGACTACTCCCAGCTGGATTGACTTCCTGGGTACTGCTGCTGAGTCATGAGCTTTTTCCCCTAGAAGACAGAAAGATAGGACAGCCAGTGTCTTGCCCTTCCTTTGTTCTACAAGCACTGCCCCAGGAACACCCTGCTGACGCAGTCAGTGCGGCAGGACATGGGTCCACGGTAATAGCAGCAGGTGTTTTACAAGTTTGTGAGCAACCCTATATGCCAGATACTACCAACAGCCACGTATTTTGTTGGAGAAGCTAAAACACAGAAAGCTCAGTAACTGGCCCAAGGCCACAAAGTGAACTCTGGTTGGGGCAAGATCAGATCTCAGGCAGCCTGATCCTACACACCAACCCGGATCAGGGCAGTCTCTGTGTGCTTCAGGACTGCCTTGTGGCTGAGAGGGAGCCCAACCGGGGCCCCAGCTCTGCCACTACTCCTGTTGTTACTCTTCTGAGACTTCATGTCTTCATCAGGGGATAAGGATATTTACTTTAAAGGATTGCTGCGGGGATTAAATGAAACAGCCGTTTTTCCTAAAGCATGTTTTGCCAAATACTAGTTCCATGGAAGCTGAGTAGGTATATTTTATGAGACATATAAAAGGAGTGTTGTTGGTTCTTCAAATTTGAGAAATACAGAGTTAACTTAAACAGGCTTCTTCACTATAAGACTTCTTAAAGGTTTGATTATTGCAATATGCTTTAGAACTCTCCAAGAAAAGAAGGGAGTGTGTATGTGCCCACAGAAACTTTTATAAGGAGCACTTGAGGGTTTAGTGGTCCACCAAAAAAACTCTGAAAAATACCACAACAATGTACTGACACAGAGGAAGCCATCAATCAGTGGTATCTGAGTTGTCACTGCTTCTATTATTGCTTTAGTTACTGTGGGCAGAGCAGAGCCAGTCAGCAGGGCTGGGAGCTGGCGAGGCTCACCTGGCGGACAGCCCCCACCATCTCAGCGCGGCTGGAGAGGCGGGCAGCCAGGCGATGCAGGACAGCGATATCCTCCAGCAGCCTCTGGTAGGTCTCCCGGTGCTCACAGTGGTGCCAGAGTGAAGCTGAAGACTGAGGAGAGAGAAAGAAATCACCCGGGTTCCTCACAGGGTGCGCCCCGGTCCCAGTCCTGCCTGAGAGGAGTGGCCTCTGCAAGGCCGGGGCTACAGCTTCCTCTGGGCACTGGAGATGCCCCATGTGGACACTCTAAACTTGGCTGGCCTAATAGAAGGGAATCACATCTGGGTCTCTGGTTCCCAGTCACCCAGTCCCCTTCCTGAGAAGATTCTAAGGGCTCAGTGGCCTTAGACACTTGCCCTTTAGGTCATCAGTCCTTCAGGATCTCTGCCTCAGCACACTCTGAGAAAGACTATCTGGCTCAGGGCCTGGGCCTGATTTCTCATTTTAGGAAACTATTTGGTGACTGAGAAAAGCAGGGTACTCAGCATGGCCCTTGAAGATAGTCCTAACTCCAAGGATTCCCCAGTCAGGCTCCACAATTACCATAATGGAAGTTTTGAAGTTTTCCAGTTCCTTCTCAGTATCCTCTTCTGTCAGGTTGCGTTCCCTTTCAGCCTGGTTAATTCTAGATTCCAGGGTGTAGCTGTCATTTCTAAAGGCCAAGGACAGTTGTACAAACACGTTCTGTTGGGAACAAGAGCGTGGGAGAGGTGCTAGGAGGAGTTATTGCAGGGAACGTGGGCAGCTGCAGGTGTGTTTCTTGCATGAGCATTTTGCATCAGCTCCTGGACCAGTCATCAAAGTAACAGTGCATCCATGAAACTCTCCCTTATGACTAACTGCACCAAGAATGGTGAGCTAGTAACCCGAGGTCCATGCTAGGTCCTACCCAGGATCAGAGACCAAATGCATTTTACTGAGGAATAATAAGAGAATAACACTTTGCTTTCCCCTGAACTTCAAGGAAATAACATCTTTATTTAGGTTTAGATAAACTTGGGCCAACACAGCTGATTATGTAAGCAGTTTGGATTCACACTAGGATTTATTACATGTGGGTTTTTTGGAGGTTTCGCATGAAACCACTATAAAGATAATTTGAGATGTAAGCCTTGTTGACTTGAAGCAAACTTCAACCAGCATCTTGCCTGAGTATTCCAAATCCTCCACTGAAAGCAGCTATGAGCTGCCAGAAGATGGAGTAAGGCCAGGCATGATTCTGTCAGGAGAAACTTTCTGGAACAAATATTCCATGCCAAAAATGCAGCCTGCATGAATGAACTTTGAAAGATGTACTGATCAGACATGGAATTCCTTGAATAATAGGAAACCACTGGGGAGGAGAAGTAGACAGATGGACTACACAGGAAGGAAGCAATGGCCTTCATTTTACAGCTTTCATTGCCCGACCTGAGCCAGGTGGTAGCAGATTTATACCATTGGGGTGACAGAACTCTGCCTGAGCTTCTGAAGTTCATGTAACCAGGCCTCATTGAGCATCTGTTATATGCCAGCAATGCCATGAGTTTTATGCACCTCATTTACTCCCACAAAACCCTCTCTATGGGAACTGTTATATCCCTTTATGGATAAAGAGACTAAGACCAGAGAGGTCATTAAGTTGTTCAAAGTGAGACAGTGTAGCAGAGCCAGGCTTCAACCATAGACTGATTCCAGAGCCTGTGATGCTTCCATCTTGCTGAGCACTGATTGTGTCAGCATCCATCTGAGGACAGGAGCTGGCTCTTGTAAACTGCCATGGCCATCTTCACCAGGGTCAGTGGGTGGGATTCTCAGTCATGTTTATCAGTAATGCTCAATGTTAGAGTCTCCATTCCTGATTAGCCCTCCAATGAAAGTATAAGTAAAGCCCAGTCAAGCCCAGGCTTCATAATTTCACAAAGCAGTGGAGTTACTTACCTCAACTTCCTTTTCAGTGAGTGGAGGGGCACTATGGGGGGGGAAAAAAAAGACACACAAATGAACGTTATCTAATTTATGAAAGAAAAAAAGGTGACTTTGAACAATAAACAGACCATAGGTTTCCAGAAACTGAGTAAGGGGAGTTAATGAGACAGGAAAGATTCAGAATATACTTGTGTGAGCTCTGAAATCTGTGAGATAGTCTATCAGACAGTGACTCCTATAGAAGAAGTATGGGGGAAAATACTAGGTCCTGGGGGCAGTCCTCTATCAGTGCCTCTATTAGACATGACTTTGGATGGGTTCTTTTAATCTCCCTCTGTTTGCTCATCTGTCAGATGGGAATATTTTACTTATCTTACAGGAGTCTTATAAGGAATATATGTCTGCATATATACATGTGTACAACTGTGTGTATATATGTGTGTTCACATATATGATATACGCAGGTATTTATGTATATGTGTGTGTACACATGTGTATATACATGACATCCACACTCAGGAGGCACTCAGATGTTAGTTATCACAACTTATTCACGGCTGGTTTTGAAGATTTACTAAGAAAGTGCATGTGCTACATACTTTATAGACTGCACACAATAGTTTTTTGGGTCTACCCAGGTCCACAAAGCTTGATCCTCCTCCTATCTCTGAGGATTGTGACAAGGGTGCATGTGAGCCATAGAATAAAAGGTAGGGAAAAGTGGCCAGAGCTCTTCTTCACAGCTGGACTCAGATCCAGCAAAAAAGTCCTGTCTAGCACAGCCGTGTCATTCTGAGAGGTTCCTCGTTGTGTGTGGTTCCCACAGCAAGCAGTCCTTTTATCTGCATGCTTACTGTGTTGCTGCTGCCACCACTCTCCTGGTAACTAAAGCTAGCCTTGTTCTGAAACCCAGACAATGTAAATAATGCACAGGCCCTTTCCTGTGCTGGGGTGGGAGGACTGGGAGCGGTTCTATCAGCGTCATAGGACGTGGCAACAGAGCGTGCCATTGATAAGACTCTCAGGAAACACAGCTTCCTCCCTTTGACAGGTGTGGAGGGACCCCAAGAGCAAAGGTAAGGGTCAGCTATCTCTGCAAGAGCTGGTTCTCACCCTGGCAAGAAACTGTGAGAGTCTTCCTGTCAGGATGAGGCAGTAAGACCCCATGGCCAGCAAGTCAGCAGCGAACAGAGCATGGGATAAACAACTACAAAGATGGTTAATGCTTACAATTCTTGTCACAACCCCACCCATCAGGCTCTTTCTGCTGTGGGCCAGCCAACATAATCTTCTAGAGCAGGTACATATTGCTTAAATGATTTATCAAAACTCTTTAAGCTTACTTTTGACTCCTGACTTTGGCTTTGTGTGAAATTTGCATATTTTGTGACATATGAACCAAACTTATTTTTCTATTTTGAGAACTCATTTTCTGCTATTTTGATATTGAACACACTTAAAAAAAATGTACTAAGCCCTGAGGAGTCAGGGAAGTGTGATTTAGTTAAAGAAGCCATGTGACAGACATAGCCAGCTTTTGATGGAGCTATGCCTTATGAACTGGCATAAGCAAGTAGGGGGCAGAGCCTTGGGCCTCCAAAAAGACATAGGCTTGCAGGGGACATACAAGCCTGAATATTGGTTGATATTCAAACTCCCTTGATAGGCCTTAGAATAAAATCAAGGCCTTCTCTGAACCAGCCCCGACCACACTCTCCTCTTCCCACTCTCCAGACACATTCATCAATCTGCTCCTCAAACACACTTACTCAGTGACCCAGGACCTTTACAGTTACTGTTCTTTCCTTTTTTTCACTCTTGTAATGGCTTTATGAAATATAATTCACTTACTATAAAAGATACAATTCAATTGTTTTTAGTATATCACAGAATTTTACAACCATCATTGCAGTCAATTTTAGAACATTTTCATCATCTAAAAAAGAAACCCTGTACCCATTAATTAATAGCCACTCTCCACCTTTCCAAACCCCTTACCCCACCGCCAAGCAACCACTAATGTGCTTTTTTTATCTATGGATCTCCCTACTCTGAATATTTCTTATAAATGGAACCAACATGTGATCTTCTGTGACTGACTTCTTTCACTTGGCATAATGTTTTCAAGGTTCAACCACATTGTAGTATATATTAGTATATTATTTTTGTGTCTGAACAGTATTCCAATGTATAAATATATTACATTTTGTTTACCTGTTCATCAGTTGATGGACATTTGAGTTGATTCTATTTTTTTGGCTATTATGAAAATGCTGCTAGTAAACATTTATGTACAAATTTTTGTGTGGACATATACTAGTATTTTCATTTCTCTTTATGATTTACCTAAGAATGAAACTGCTGGGCCATATGGTAACTATGTTTAAGTTTTTGAAGAACTACCAAACTGTTATTCCAAAGTGGTTGCACAATTTAACTGAGGATTCTAAGTCCTCCACATTGACATTGTTAATCTTTTTTAGTATAACCATTCTAGTGGATGTAAATGGTATCTCATTATCATTTTTATTTGCATTTTCCCAATGACTAAAAATGTTGAGCATCTTTTCATATGCTTAATAACTCCTCATATATATTCTTTGAAGAAATGTCTACTTAAATCCTTTGGCCATTTAAAAAAATTAGTTGTCTTTTTATTGATTGATGAGGTTTTTTATATATATTCTATAAATAAGTCCCTTATCAGATATATAATTTGCAAATATTTTCTTCAATTTTCTGGGTTGTCCTCTCACTTTCTTGATGGTATTATTTGTATCACAAAAGTTTGGTGAAATACTATTCACTTATTTTTTCTCTTGTTGCTTGTGCTTTTGGAGTCATATCTAAGAAACCATAGTCTAACCCAAGGTCTCACATATTTGCTCTTATATTTTTTCTTTTAATACTTTAAAGCATTGGCTCTTATATTTAGGCCTGTGATCCATTTTGAAGTAATTTTTGTGTATTATGAAGTAATTTTACTCTTTTGTATGTGACTATCCAATTATCCAAGAATGATTTGTTGAAATTACTATGCTTTTTTGTCGGGAAATTTTTTCCCCTGAAATCTTTGCATAGGTAACTTTTTTTTTTTTTTTGTCATTTGTATGTCTCAACTTAATTACTACTTTATCACAGAGACTTTCTTTGATCTTCTACCCAATGCTCCATTCTCTATGTGTCTATTTCGTGGTCTTCCTAACAGCTTTGCTATCTGAAGTCATTCATTTGTTATTTGATATTATTTGTCTCCCCAACCAGAATGTAAGTGCATGAGAACAGGGTCTGTGTCTCCTTGTTCTCCATTTTAATGGCACATAATGGGCACTCGATGAATATTGGTTGATTAAATGCCTGTTTATTGCTCCTGCTGGTATTTGACCCTGGGATTCCTTACCCTGAGACATTTCCATTTTGCACTCTTATTATCCAACCATTGACCATGTTTCTAGTTTGGGTTCTAGACCTGGTTTTTCTACTGAAATTTTCTGACCCTATAAGCTCCTTCTTGTTAAGAGTCAATCCAAAATTAGGTAGTTCACATAGAACATGAAACAAACTCCTTTTGCATATTAAACTCAAGTGTAATTTTTCCATATTTCTTCTGGGGAAAGGAATCTTGAAGCTCTGGCTTCCTTCTTCTGAATGACAGCATACAGGACAGTTTGTCCATATCTCCTAAACCCTGAACCAGAGCTACAGAGTTCTAGGCTGAACCAAGGGCCCAATTTGGAAACAGCCTCTACTAAAGCCAGAAGCAGGGAAGCTGATTTAGTGGTTGGAGCAGGGAACTTGGGGTTGGGCAACATGGCTATTGACATAATGCATAAGAGATACTGACTTTAATCTGACAGCCTGAACCACAAGCTTCAGAAGCTGATCTTCTTCATGGACCATGAAAACCCAGTTTGGCCTCATGTTTGGTGGCTAGTAACTGTTAACATTCTCAATGATGGTAGAACTGCTGAGTCTTCCCTTCCTGGGAAAGCTGGGGAAATTTAATTCACTGGAGGAGTGCCCTAATCATACTATCTTCAACTTCACAAAGGAAAAAGAAGCCGTAGCACTCTTATTCCTTGAAGACTGACAAGCACTGATGATGGTTTCGGTACTTTGATAGGTCCCTGGTATAGCTGGAAAGGCAGATCAGTCCACCATGAATTCGATTCCTGACTTCATCACCTGCCAGTATGTTGCTTTGCTTCTCTGTTCTCTCACTGACAATGAACAAAAGAAAATCTTTCTTTTCTGCCTCCCTGGGTTGTCACTAATACCAAAAGACACATAGCATGTAAACTTGTGCTCTGTAATCTCAGTGCATTTGGGGTGCTTCTCCTTTGACTTCCTGTCTCTGGACACCTCTTCTGTGCCTTTCCACCAGGTGAACTGGCCTAACTCACGCCCTCCTCCAGCTGTGAATTCAGCCTGCTTCCAACTTGTTTCTAGCTCTTTTCTTAATGTTGATTTAGTTGCTAGGTCCCTCTGAGTATTGCCCTGATGGTTCTGTTTTAGGTCATTACAGTGTGGAATTTGAATACATAACACCCAATGGGCAAAATTTGTTTTCCTTTCATATTTACCCCTAAATTGGGAACCTCTCTTAGGTCTGGTGGCTCCTCCCAGTAGTTTTGATCCCAACAGTTTAGTCCCCAGGTTGCTGGGCTTGGTGGGAGGCCTCATTTGCAGGCACCCTCCCAATCCCTTTTGCTTAGTGATACCCTATTTTCTCTCCTTTATACTCTAAACTATTCACTTTTCGACCCAGGGCCTGCTATGTGTGACAAAATGCTAAGCCATGACTCACACACCATCTATGTAGCTACCAATGACAGATCCCTGTTGTGTAGGTGAGGAGACTGAGGCTTGGGAGTGAAGCCACTTTCTCCCCATGTGTGGAAAAGAGCCTGGTAGGTTTTTCAAGCATCCTTCTTCATGTGGTTCCAAATGTTCTATCTATACATCTTTATGCAGATATGAGACCTAGAATCTCTCAGTTATTTTGTGCACTGAAAGCGGGCGGGGGGGTGCTGCAGGGGGCCCCTCAGCCTGGCCTGATCCCTCTTACTGTCTGGGGACCTCTCTTACTGCCTGCCTACAGCAGAGGCAGGAGAGGCTCCTGCCGCCGCCACCGCACTCACCAGTGGTGAGCCCAGCTTCTGGCTGAGCTGTGCTCCTTCTTGGGAGCACACTGACCACCAGGGGGCAGCTCCTACGTTGAGCATCTGCCCCCTGGTGGTCAGTGCGCATCATAGTGATTGATTGTTACATTGTTCAGTTGATTTGCATCTTAGGGTTGTTTTATATAGGATGGTAGAGTTGGGATTAAAACTATGTCTCCGGCCCAAAGCCCACCACCCTCTGCTGCCATGAGCCTCTTGGTGACCCTTGTGCATGCCTAAGAACCCTACCTGGCCCTTTATTATTCTTTTTATTTTAGATTTGGACCATTAGACTCTGATCCATCTGGGGTCCAAGATCAAGGCTGGTGCACTTCTTTGTCTCGTCTAGACTCTAACACAGGCTGCATGATACAGGTCTTCTGCAAGCCACGCCCTGATTTTACCTTCCAGGGAGAGACTTGTGGACCCGCAGTTTGCGCAGCAGCACATCAGAAATATTGGGCATGACGTCCAAGCCACTCTTTGACTCTTCTTCCTCAATAGCTGGAGAGAGTTCAGAATGGAGCCCTAAAAGAAAAAAGTGCTTAGCTTATAAAATGTCTGTTTGTAATCGCAGTAGTACTGTTGCAACTTGCTTCAATGGATAGGAAGAGCTTTAACAGTTACAAGGACCTTTGTGGACTGAAGGGACCCTAGTTTGATTCCAGTCAATGGCCCATGCCCAAATTGCAGCCTGATCCAGAATTGGGGGTGGGGAGCCATGCAGGATACAACTGATCAATGATTCTGATGTTTCTATCAATCCCCCTCCTTTCCTCTCTGCAATCAATAAAATATATATATTTTTAAAAGAACCTAATTATATTCCAGGGACTTTATAATTATTTTTATTTTTTTAAATATATTTTATTGATTTATTTTTTTTTTTACAGAGAGCAAGGGAGAGAGATAGAGAGCTAGAAACGTCGATGAGAGAGAAACATCGACCAGCTGCCTCTTGCACACCCCCTACCGGGGATGTGCCCGCAACCAAGGTACATGCCCTTGACCGGAATTGAACCCGGGACCTTTCAGTCCGCAGACCGACGCTCTACCACTGAGCCAAACAGGTTTCGGCAATAATTATTATTTTGACTCAAGAAGCCAGAACTTAATTTTCTCAATTTACAGATAGGTAAACCAAAACTCAGCAAGTTTAAGAATTTGTTTAAGGCCATAGAACTAGTAAATGGCATAGGAAAACTTCAAACTAATTCTGTCTGCTCCAAATTCTATGCTTCTATTGCTTTCCAAAGTATCAAGCAGGCTCTTATGTCTGGAGTCAAAGGTTTGTTTCTGGCAAATGGAAGCTGGTTGACTATTTGGCATAATGTTTGCAAAGGTCCCCCCTCTTTAACAGGTTTTTCAAGAGGCCTGTTGCGAATTATTCTTCCTCAACTGAATTCAACAGTTCAATCATTGTGGTCTACCTCAAAATCATTGTCTGGTTCCATATCCCCAAAGGCAGGAATAGAATTAGGATTTTTTTTCAAGGTAAATCTAAGGTCATTAGGTTTTTTAAAATATCTCAGAAATAAATACCTCAGAGTCAATAAAATGAATGAACAGGCTTTTGTTATCTCCTAAAACTATTCAGGATCTTGCTCTAAAGGCAGAAAGAATAAATGAAATATTTTCTTCCCATAAGTCTCTCCTGTTTGAAGACAGGCCTTTTACCTCTCCCAAAGTTTTTCTTCTCCAGGCGCTAGCCCCATTTTCCCAACTGCTCATTGTGACCCACTGTGGCCATGACATGATCCCCTGCCTGCATGCATTCTGGTTGTTGCTGTCCTAGAGGTTCAGATGTACTCTTACATGCTCATAGCTGAGGAGGACATTGGCACATGTCCCTGACATTCACATTTGTTATTCACACAGCATAAACTTGGTGTGCCTTACTGTGGGCTCACAAGGCATTTAGGATTAAAAGCCTCAAATCTCTTTTACTTGAGCCAAAATAAATATCATCATCCCATACCATGGTTATTTTCCATTTACAAGCAGGAGTTTATAGTTTTGTTTTACCATTTCAAGTGAGTTTTGACTCAGGAGATTCCCAACCTGCTCAATCACTTTCCAGAATTGTAGGCCAGGCCAGAGACCAGGACTAAAGACACAGATGTGGTAGCCATGCAAATGGAGCTGAGATTAGGAGTCATGTGAATCAGAAGCCTTACCAAGGGAGACCATGCAGAGAAGAGGGGGTGTAGTTTGGCTCCAGGTAAAGAATGCTTAAAATACTTTGAGCTTTCCACTCAATCATGTGGCTAAATGGTTGAGCGTCAACCTATGACCCAGAAGTCACAGTTTGATTCTTGGTCAAGGCACATGCCTGGGTTGCAGGCTCGATCCCCAAGTGGGGGACATGCAGGAGGCAGCCAACAGTGATTCTCTATCATTGATGTTTCTATCCTTCTCTCCTTTCCTTACTCTAAAATTAATTTAACAAAAAACAGATTTAAAAAAATACTTTAAGCTTTCCAATAACAGAATGGTGTTCATGAGTTTTTTGGTATTCAACATATCCTGGCAAAGTCAGGAGACAGGATAGTCAGTGGCCCTCTTTTGAATATATGTTTGGACTAGACATTCTCTTAGCTATCTGTCACCTCTTGGGTTCTGTCCTGGCATTTACTATTCTCTGACATTTCGTGTGACAGATAGTAAGTCCTGTGTTGCTTCTTGCCTCAATCTGTCAATAACCAGCCTAAAGATAATTAAACAATGAGCCCCTGAGAAATCTGTGTGGTTGATTGAACCATAACAAAGTCTAATAATCAAGTGAAAGTCATACCAGGGATCTTTGCCAAGAAAAGTGCCCTCGGTTGAGCACCTCCCACTAAAATGGCTGTCTAAAGAGAGACCCTAGAACTGATAGATCCCCAAACCAGCCAACCTCTTCCTAAGCTCAACCAAATTAACTTAATAAATGACAAATTTTTAAATCAGCCCAAAATATAGCCACCACTCTCAAATATATAAAAAGGTAATGTCTTTCAACATGATGGCCGGAGAAAGAGAAAAACTTGTTAGGAATAAAAGGAGAGCTCCTGCCCTAACCGGTTTGGCTCAGTGGGTAGAGCATCAGGTAAAGGAAGGAAAAGAGACAAATTCCAAGGAGTCTGGCCACTGTGCTATTTCTATCTCCCGCATGTTTCCTTTCTTAGCGAACTCAAGGGTCCCAGGTTTGATTTAGATCAAGGGCATGTACCTTGGTTGTGGGCACATACCCAGTAGGGAGTGTGCAAGAGGCAGCTGATAGATGTTTCTCTCTCTCATCAATGTTTCTAACTCTCTATCCCTCTCCCTCCTCTCTGTAAAAATTCAATAAAAATATATATATTTTTTAAGTAAATAAAAGTAGAGCTCACACCCTTGATAACCATCAAAGACTCAGTACTGAGAGAAAGATGTGAGGGGGAAATACAAAAAAGTGCAGACTGAGAGGCGAGCAGGCAGCCTGCAGAGGAGATTCAGAACATTTCTCTAGAGCAGAAAGGTCCCCGTCCCACATAGTAGAAATCTCACCAGAGAAAAACTGCCTTGCTGCTGTTTGCTTTTCTTGACAAGTAGGAGAAGAAAGGAAAGACAGCACAGTAGTCTACTGGAGCTGATTGTATAGAACAATATGGAGGGGTTTACCAGAAAGGAAAATGAAGAGAAAATAGGGAAAACATGCTTCTCTGATGGAGTGAGACACATGGATTGCCCCAACTGAAGCTGTTCTCCAGCCTCCAATCACCCTCCCTCTGCCCCAGCCACTTCTGAGAAGTAGAACAGTGGCCAAACTCCTTGGAATTTGTCTCTTTTCCTTCCTTTACCTGACAAGATAATTGAAAATAGATGGCTCACATCTGGGAAATACCTAAGTAGATTGTTTCTATGATTCTACCCTGAATTGGTGAAGTAACCCATAATCCACTACTCCCCATCTAAAGAAATAAGGTTTGGTTAAATAAGCCAAGTATTGGGACTATGAACAAAGCTAGAAAAAGAGCAGAAACCAATCCCACAAGCACCACTACACACAGCTTCCTCTGAACTTCCCCTTTCCCCACCATCCAAGCAGTAGCAAAGCAGACACAGAACACCCAGTCCCCAACTAAATGCTGCAGAGAGAACAGAGGTCTCCGATAAGGTGGAAAAGGCAGTGAAAATTGACCTACATAATTTATCTGGGTGAAGAGAGAATCCAGAATGCCCATGTAAAAAGGACATGAAATAAAAACAAATGTCATGGCAACTATTTCAAAATACTGGATAGTCAAAATAGGAAGAAAAAAGGAAGGAAGGTATAAAGGAAAGGAGAAAGGAAACATGCAGGAGACAGATGTCAGGATAAAAACAGAGGCAACAGCACCGCAAAAAAAATGCACTTTTGTGCAAAATGTATACCACAAATTCTTTGACTCGTGGAAAATTAGAACCTGACAAAAATGAAAATAGGAAATCAGAGATGAGATGAGAGGATATCAGAAAGATGGAAGAAGATTACAATTTAAGGAAATGAATTGAAGACCAAAATGACAGAACTAAGCAAGAAATTATAAAAAGATAGAACTAACCAATGTGTACTAGAAAATAGAAAAGATAAAACAGATACAACCTCAAACTGAATTAGTGAGGAGGATGGGAGAGACTGAGATGAGCACGAGGAATATAAAAAAGGGAAGATTAAAGTATATGGAGATGGAATAATGGACTTGCACTTGAGACATTGATGAGAAATTTAGGGATTATGGAGTCTCTAAAGTAGTGAACAAAACAAAAGAAAGAACATATCCAAAGATAGAAGAAAAAATTTGCCCAATTGAGATAAAAGCTGAACTTGCAGATTGCATTTTATATATGTATTAGTAGCCCATAGCGAGATATCGCGTGCAGTAGGCCTCCTACCACTGCTGCAGGAGCTGGCGGGAACCACAGTGCGCTGCTGGCAGCCACGCTGTTTCCACAGAAGCCGGGAGCCATGCTGCTTCTGTGGGAGACGGGCCCGCCATCTCCTCTCCTGGCCTGCGCTTGGCTGCAGAGGCTGCAGGCTGGCCTCTTGTCCTCCAGAAGCCCTCCACAGCAACGAAGCAAACATTCCACCAGGCTGCTCACACTGCCCTATCTCGGCTCCCCCAGGACTGGGGGACTCTGGCAGGGCTGAGGGGACTGGGGGCTGCCATCTTGTGGCGATGGGCACTGCCATCTTTGTGATGGATGACAGTTAATTTGCATATTACTCTTTTATTAGATAGGACTAGAGGCCCAATGCATGAAATTCATTCAAGAGTAAACCTTCCTTTCCCCTGCCCCCTGCAGGCACCTGAGACCTGGGATTTCCTTACAGTCCAGAAGGACATCTGGTCTAATTAGCATATTATGCCTTTATTCTTACAGATAAAATTCTTCTCTAACACCCTCACAGGAGGATAAGCCATCTACAGGAAGAGGTAAGGACTGGAGTGCTGGAAATCAGCTGGTCCCAGACTTCTCTACAACATTGAATACAGTGTATTATAGCATTTACAAAGTTCTGAAGA